GGATGTGTCAAAGCTAGGACCCATGCTCCTGGATCTTTCGAATCGCATCCTTTTCTGGTGCTTCCCCTTTTCGAGGCTGATTGGCAGGATGACAAGTCTTGTAACAATCCAGGGGTCCAATGCCCATCATCGCCCCTTCCACCCCTTCCCCCCCGGAAAAAAAAGAAGAAAAGGAAGAATAAAAACATGTGCTTCACGGCTGCTTTCTCTGGTCCATCTTCTCCAGGTGAAGCTTGATACTTTCAACCCCGCCCATCGAACTCAGAATGTCGGCGAGTTGAGCATCAAGCTCCTGGCACACAGAGCCATCCTTCGCGCGAGGGTACCCGTTTTAAGGTTGGCTTAAGGGGAAACCAACAGGGCAACACTCTCTCTTTTGTTTGGAGTCCAATTCCCTATGTTTGACATGTACCCGTTTCTGCTTGCTTGACTTTGCACCAGGTACCCCTCTCTTTACACCTGGAGTAGCTGAGTGACCCCAAGCTCCGCAAGATCGGCGTTCGGAAAGAAAGACCTGCTTTGTCTGTTCGAGTGGAAAGGGCCATGATCAAATCAACGGGTTGCGCATGATTGTGGGGGGCTGGCCTGAAGGTGGCAACGCCCTATGACTGAAAATTGTTTTCATAAAAGCATGTTGGCAACAACACTGACAACAGCTTGGGAATCCTAAAATCGATACTTCTTTTGTGGAGGGCCGAAGGGACATCCTGAATCAGCGTGAGAGGGGGCTGGTGGGTGACAAACAACCAACAATTATTTTAAATGTGGTGTTGGCCAAACCTTGTGGATGCCGTTAAAGGAGGACAGGCTGGCAATGCGCTGGAAAGGTGGACAGCCGCTAATCGGGTGTCAACATCCATACCGACGTGTGATAGAAGGTTCTCTGAATATGCTCCTTTTTTGCCCAAAAGGGTGAGCGCAGAACCTGAATCACAAAGCAGGGACACCCAAGAGCCAGACGCTGATTGCTTCTGGGATGCATTCCCAAACCCTGTGAGCGAGGTCTCCAACGAAATAACAACACTGAGTCGAGGCAAATCCATGTCACTCCGCAACTCGCAAAGTACCCTGTTCTGCTCTCTGTTCTTTGTCTGCCCCTTCACAACCAGGGCCTCCCTGCCTCTGGAAACTTGATCCGGCACAGCTCCTGCAAAGGAAGAAATCCTGCACATGCAGTGTAGGAATGTCGAAACTGAGGACGTTTCCTCCGACCAATTGGCCAACCAGTCAACCAACCAATGCTACGTTTCCAGGCAATTCTAGACCAAAAATGCTTTACAAAGGAACACCCAAAAGGAACATCTCCCGTTTCACATCAAAAAAGGAGTTGGGCCCAATCAAATCAGTTGGAGCTGCCGATCTAGTGGCCCAAGCCTTCTGACACATGTCCAAGCCGCATTGCTAAACGCCCGTCCCAGCCTCCTCGTCGCGCTCTGCCCCTTCCGATCCTTACTTGCATGCGTCAAGACGCACAAAATCAACGCACTGAGTGTGTCTCCCACCTCCTGGGTGGGACAGGGGCAACTACTCAAAAGCAGCATGTCAAACTGTCAACCCAAAGATCAGCTTCCCACACCTCAGCTGTCACACATCTTCTGAGGTCTCCTTCAGTGACTCAAACTCCGCGCAACAGAATGCGGCACCAGCAGGCCCGAACCCAGCACCGGGCCAATCAATGCGGAAGAGCTTCCGGCCCTCAACCGCTTTGGGCTATGCAACTCCTGCGCTCGTTGGCAGCTGCAAGCGTCTCCAGGAGTCCAAGCGAACTGCTAAACTCGCCCTTCACTATTGCACTGCGAATAATATCAACAACCATGGCGGTAGTCGATAGTCCCTCTCATTTAGGGAGAACTCGGCAATTAGGCAGTAGGCCCTCACCTCCCTCCCCAAATTAGCGCAATACGCATGGTTATGTTGCGAGCGCTCATCGAAGTCAAGCTTTGGAGGATGCAGCAAGAATGGTGCAACCGAGCCCATTAAAAGCAACAGTTCATGATAGCCCATAAAGCGCCGCGTTGTGCTCCTGTGTGCCAATTTCCCTGAACATTTGAAGCCCTCTCTAACATCAATGGTAAACTTAACAAGTGATCATTTTACCAGTGTGTACGACATGGTCAGTCTCTCATATCCTCAGACTCTAGCACCAAATTAAGATCTCTAGCAAGAACTGAATCTTGATCTAGCAACTCGTCTACACAAGTGTACCTAGGAGAAGGCCCAAAGCAGCACACAATCCTTAAGTCCAATTCGATCTGCTGCCAAGGAAGCCAAAGGGATACCAACCCGTTTGAACTTGAACACCCTGTACGCTCCGTGTCTGTGCACAGCTCCTCCTGCTCCTCCTCCACTTCCTCCTTCTCGGCTTCCTTTCGAGAATCCGGAGCTGGAGCATGGGCAGAAAATTGCCGAGTGCAAGCCCAGCAAGTGGAGAGGGCTGTGACTGACAAGGGTGGGTCGACAAGCCATCGGCAACTCACCCTGCCAACTCTGGCCCATGGAGAAGCCAACAGAAAGCAGGGGCAGAAATTGGAGCACCTCGTCGAAACTCTGAAGCGTTTGGGAAGGTGCATGTCTTGGGGGGCATGATTGAAACCTACGGTTATCACCAAAAACAACAGATATGTCCAGGTCTGAAATTGTACATCATATTCGGAGGGGAGGGGTTCTTAGAGCCTTCTTAGAAAGGTTTTTCAGAACCTTTCTTTCTTTGGCACAGGTGCGATAATGAGACCATTCGCTGGCGTGAAGGCGGATCCTGGTCATCTCGCAACAGTTCCAGCCAGCTGTGTCTCACAATAGCGGAACCTCCTAAAAATCGCCTGGTTTCTTTTTGGTTCCCCTTAAACCACCTGACTCCAAAAAGGGTACCCTCCAAAAGAGACGAGCCACCCAAACCGAGCTTCAGGCCGGCCCGAAATCGCTCCCTTCGCACACGTCGCCTCAGCGTAGCTCAAGGTGGCCACCAGTTGCTTCCTGACCTGCGGATCGGTCCCATGGAACACCCCGGCGTCCGACCCCGCGACCTGGTCGTAAGGAAAACCAAAAGGCTAACTAGAGACCAGCAATTCACAGGTTGATTGGCCATGCGACAACTCACTGGGGGGTGGGGGACTGACTCCGAACTGGACCACCTTGCTGGTTTTGCCATGCATTCTTGCCACGAACACTGCAACCGAAAAGGCGATCTCCAGCTTGAGGCTCCTTATGCTTTTCCAAGGTCCGTGTTTCTGGGTTGGGGCATGATTCCCTGCAAGTAAGCCAGCCATGAAACATGTCAACGTACAGGTTTTTGCTTGCTTGCCTGCTTGCTTGCTACTTGCACTACATCTTCTCAGCAACTATAGTTGGACTCCACCAAACAAACACACCAGAAACACGGCAAAATGGGGATACACCAGCAAAACACACACACACACACACATTCCGTGTGGCTTCCTGGAGCACCCGTCGTTACCTAAATTTCTGCCCTTAGCCCAAACGTATTGCAAACCAGGGGTCATCACCAAAATATGGTAAGCGTACACTTTTTCCTACTTCGAGCGGTTTTCCCAAAATCGGGCTGGTCGGTCCTCCAAGATAATCGGTCGCTGAAATGTTCGAAAGGAGCGAGCAGAAATCGAAGTGCAAAACGAGCGCAAATATCCGCAACACGAGCGCAAATATCCGCAAACGAGTGCAAAAAAAAAAACGTAACAATGCCCGCCTTCCTCTGGATGGAAGAAGGGGATTTGGTCGAGCGTTTTTCGGGGGGCGAGCGTTTTTTGGGGGGTCGAGCAGAAATCGGTAATTCGAGCGTTTTTTTTTAATCGTACCAAAAAAAAGGGCACGTTGGGTGCCTCAGGTTCCAATAGAAAAACCACAGACAACCAGCACCCACTCCGCAGGGCCGAGACCCAGGCGACGCGCGCTTAGCACGGCGCCTCTGGGTCCAGGCCGTGGCGGTCGCAGAGCCCCGCCAGCCGCGCGCCGAAGAGGCACACCGCCGCGGGCATCCGCGAAGCCTCGCCCTCCAGCGCCGCGTTGCGCAGCGCCCCGCAAATGTCCACCTGCAGGAGGGGGTGGAATTTGGGGGGGGGGGAGGATGGGGGAGAAATTTGCGGGGGAAGGCGGAATCGGAAAACAACCCTGACAATCGAACATTTGAAGATATTGGACCTATTTGGAGGGTACATGTGGGGATGGCATACATGGAGCGGCTGGGCGGGGGCTCAGAGAAGCACAGGGGTCAAGAAACTAAACTCCCCTTATTCAAAACTCAATTCCTGAGTTGCAGCAGCAAAAGCTGCAACATGAAGTTGCATTGGGCAAGCTGAAGCGCATAGTGCCTGTGCTAACAACAAAAACACATTGCAGCATACGCTAAGAAGACAGGACTGTGCAAATCCCCTTATGAATCATCTGATGCCAGACACGTTCCGGCAATAGACTAGATCTTACCCAAACTATTGTATGAAACATAGCACAGATTTACACATGTGCTGGCACATGCTAGACACACATGCAGGTCTGTGCTACTAGATAGTAACACACAAAGAATTGCTCGACCTGTCTTAGAGAAACATGATTTACATGTGTGTATATATGTATATATGTCTCAGTGCCAAGGATATGCTACACAAATACCGAACAAGTTGGATCTGTGTCAGGCAGATCCTTGAATTACATTAGAAGCAAGCTAAGCATAGACTCAACGTTTGCTGCAAGCTTCATTATATTATCAGGCTGAATAAATACCATGATTTCAGAAACACTTGCCCCTATCGTCAGTCTGCATGCAGTCTATGTGACTGTTTCAGAATTCGCACTCAAGTAATGCATTTACTTCCATTGAATCCCAACTAGATTCAGCGGCTTCTAGCGCATATGGCTGCGCCTTCAAGGACTGCTAAAAGCCGAAACAATACAAACAATACAATTCTCACAGCGTCGTGGCCTTAATAAAACAAATATATAGGGGAGGTTTCCGTCTGATATTTCTCCAAGACCCCGATCATTAAACCAGGGATCCCCCTGTTTCGGCACGACTCACTCCGCCTTCACATCGGGGACATCCAATTCCAAGTCTGAAGCCTTCAAGACGGCCTGCAACGCCTGGCGGAGCGGGAGAAACAAAACAGGGCCAGCTGAGCTCCAGCGCCGTTGTCCAAAACCCAGGTCCCATCAAAAAAGCTTCGGTCTTGGCCTTTGGCCAGGCTCAAACCTGAGTAGAAGGAGCCAAAGGAGCGAACAAAGGTACTAGCCAGGTGCTGGATTTATTCTGCTAGGCTTGCATGGAGTCGGAACTGTACGAGCATGGCTGGTTTGCAACATGCGCCTGCACCACAGTGTGCTGTCGGCCATTCAACCTTCATATTCCGACTTTGGGATCCAAGCCCTTGCTATTAACGTACATTCAGTCAATCATATGCAACTATTCTAAAAGCTGCTCATTTGATATATGCTACGTATCACAAACAACTTACAACACAATTAACCAGCTAGTAAACCCCTCAATCCCTCTTGCTACAACAGGCAACACACGAGTTCCGAGGCACATGCGGAAGGCTCAGCTGGCTCATTTGAAGTTTCGCCTAACTTGATCCTGCCTCTGGAAATTCGAACTGCCACCTCTGCACCGTCATCTTTGGAAGCCTGGAGAAAACTGAGAGAAGCTCACGCGATCCAACCGAGGGGTTTGGTATTCTTCATGTCCCCCAGGCAGATTTTGGGGTCATAGCGATTGTGGGCGTGTCTTGTTTTGGGAGTGTCTTGTTTTGGTTGTCTTGAAAGCGAAACCAAAAGGGCAACGGCACTCCGTAATTTTGAGACCAACCCATTGAGCCACAGCTCGGAAGCAACTGCATGGTGTGCCTGCACGCCGCTGTCAAACCAAAGCTGGGCATGTCATGTAAGGTCTCTCCCCTCCGCCCTACACGCATATATATATATATATATATGTATATATATACACTGGGAGCTCGGACCTCACGTGGCACCCTGTTGGACGATTCACACCTTTTCGGAAGCGATCCCACTCCTCAGCCGTTTTCAGCTTGGAGCGCAGCCCAACTCTGGGCCAGTCCCTGCGACTGAGCGTCCCAAGCTCCTTTCAAAAGAAAGAAACTGCGGGAAGATATGTACAAACCAAGACCCGAACTCTCCAGACTCGGCCTTTTGGCCACCTAAGCGCCAGTCTTGCTGGGGTGCACGGAGAACCACCAGTTCAGGATCATGTTGGGCTCCTGGGATATTTTGGGGATCGCGCCAACGCCAGACCGAGCTGTTGAAACGTCGACTTCACGCACCACTCGTGCTTCGCTCCAGTTTTTTAGCCCGCCTATGGGCGTTTCCAAAAGGAGACCTTTCATCACATGGCAAGGCTTTCTTCAGGGCCTGTACCAAAATCCAAACGCAACTCCCCCTTGCCAACAGTAGCATGCCACTTAATAGGGTACAGTAACTCAAATTCACAGACTTCTCGGAGGGTCCGGTTTGGGACCTACTAGATCCCTGGAAATCCACGACTGTTTTTTAAACGTCCTTTGCACCTCGCCTGTTTTTTGCAGCTAAAGCCTGTTTTTTGCGCCTGCAGTGAGCCATGGCGTGGTATTTGATGGATTATTCATGCTGTTGCCACGTTTGGATTGTACAAAGCCAGTTCCACCCCAACATGTCTTGACACAACAGCTTTGGTGTGAACATAGCGGTCCGTTATGTGCGCAAAAGTAGCGTGAAATCACCGTGAAAATACCGTGAAATTGGCGTGAAAGCCTGTTTTCCAGCGTGAAAGCACGTTTTCTGCCGTGAATTTTGACACCGGTGAATCTACGTGTTTCAGCCTGTCTTTGATAATCCCTCCGCTTGTTTCGTGGGAAGGGAGGTCAAGTCTTTGCACACTTTGGTCCTGAGCACGTGCGGCGCCCGAATTGTTCAATGATATCAGCTGAGCTTGGACAAAACTACTCCTGGCAAAAAACCGCCTTTCACAGAAAACATGCAAAATAAACCGCCTTTGGAACCCCAGGGAGATGTTTCAATTGCCAAAGCAAACTACTCGAAGAGGGCACTGATTTTGACAAACGAGAATCAAAGTGAAAAAATGAATTCCTCTTTGTTGAAACGAACAACTAAAACAATGCTCTCTTCATTTGCCTCCGAAATTGACATATGCATTAATACAATCAATACCCATATTTCAACCAGGGTTTGCCAACCACTGTTTTAAGCACATTCAAACAACTGTTCGACTTCCTTTTGGAAGGGGGCCAGGGTCTCCCTGCTTGAACTTCGAGTATACTTTGCCCAAGTCCGAGGAATTCTACCGTCGCTTCGCGGCTCCCCAAACTCTGCTCAAAAGGCCTAACAGAAGACTCGCCTTTCGGAGAAGACTCGCCTTTCGGAACCCATGGAAGCATCAAATCCTCCGACGGCGCGCCGACGGCGCGCCTCTGAGCCCTGCACGCAGTGCCACCACCCCGCCGGAAGGTACAGCAGGTCCCCCGCCCGGAGCTGCACCTCCAAAACCTTCGCTTTGCCGTAGCCCACGAACCGGGCCTGCGAACGGGCGCACGGAAGCCGGGAGCCACGCCCCGGGGCGGCTTGAAAGCAGCACGAAACGGAGCCTGGCAAATGGAAGGACTCAAACTGGCTCTTAAATATGCAGATGGGCAAAATCCACGCCAAGCCAAGTGTTGTTAAGTGTTTTATCACAGTGTTTACAGGGTTTTCATCCATCCCAACTGGTGCAGATTCGCTTCCCCCATGCTCCTATATTGCCACTATAGCAGGCAGCCTACTGAAACCGGTACCGAACCTACATGAAGAACGGACCTGCCCAAAAGCGATACCTTGGTTATATTGTCAGTTCAAATGAACATCTGAGTCGGACATACACCCTTTGTTGCACATCCCGAACATATGGGGGCCTTCACCAAGAAATTCATGGTCGCATGGCTATCATTGGGACCACTGAGTGGGTTCACGGATGGTTGGTTGCCTTATAGACATGGACTCACATACTAAGCGCTGGGGAAGGACCTATTGTCGCATTTCCCTCCGCAGTTTCAGGGTCTTCCCTAGGGAGGAAACCAAAGCCCCCCCGCCCTCCGCCCCAGGAACCGTTGTTGGCACTAAACGGGTGTGAACAAATCAAGCAATGCAATCGTAGCCGAGACGCCTGCATCTCCGGGGAGAAGTCTCCGAAGCGCGTGAAAGGGGGGATTGCGGAGCGAGTAAAATCCTGCGGCTTGGAGATCGACTCGCCCAGCGGATAAAGGAAGCGAGCATCTGACGGAGGAAACAGCCAGATGCGCTTGGCGCCAAAAACGCAAAGCATCAAATTCTCGTAGCCATCGAAGTGAAGGGATGTGGTATTGCGGTGGCAGCCAATGTAGGTATGAACTCCATTTGGCACCGGATCGCCGAAACATGTGCCAAACTCCTCAGGAATTCTCAAAGCTTGAATGGCCTCCTGAAGCTCTGGCAACTCAGACAGCGATGTCTTGCTGAGGTAGAAAGGGCAAATGGTTTTGCTCTCAGTGTGCCACTGCATAGTCTCCAGAAAGTCGCTAAAGAGGAGACTCATCGAAGGGTTGCACATGAAGACTGGCACGCTGCCACTCATGGAAGGCCTTCCTTTGAGCTGCACCATCCGGTGCCCTGCCACCTCCAGAAAACTCAGGGATTTCGGCAAAGCTTCGGGCACTTTCCGTCGCACCACCGGCAAGCTTGGAAGCACATGGGAAGTCCACAGCACCTCCGGCGACAAAGATGCGGCCACCGGCACCTCTGTTAGCTCCTTCATGTGCAGAACTCTCATGGGGATCCCCTTGCCGGCCATGGTCAGCAACGACAGAAGGGCCTGTCCCACAAGTTGAAAAGGAGTGCTATCCTTCAGTTGAATCAGCTTTTCTATGTCTGGCGATGCATGTGGCTTCAACGTCCACTTTCAGCAGAACTTCACTCTGCAACCAAGCAGGCACCACACAAGTGTAAATCACTGGCTCTGGTTTAAAAGGTACAATTTTCCTGCGGTCTGTGTAGATAGCCAACCATAGGGGACACCTTAACGCTGGTTGGTTTCCTGGTGGTTCCTTGCAAACACCATCCCAAGGCCTATTTGTTCAATCATCTAAAAAACAGAGGGAACCTGTTGGAACCACACTTGCACTCAACCCTGTGTATGTTTCCCGTTAAAGGAGGAAATGCTGCAGGTCTGCCACTTGCTCCAATGAGTAGTGCTCAAGGGCGCGTCCCCTGGCCGTCGCCACTCTTATGGTTTCGTACGGCGAAGCGAAGCGCGGTTCACTCCTGCAGTGGGAGATCCTCTGGCAGTCGCTTCAACTCCTGGGTGGTTCTCCCTAACATCCCACTCACTTGGAGCCTCCATGGCCCGTAAACGAAAGGGGCTGTATGAGTCATGTATAACAAACATTGAGGGATCATCACCCTTCGCAAACTAAAGGGTCATGCAGACTCCAGGCAGACTCCAGGTATGTTTGAGCATCATTCCCAGCCAAACAGGAGGGCAATAGGGTTGCATGTTCTTTTAAAGCTGTCCTATGCTTCCGGCTGCCCTTGAAACACAAACCACAAAGTGTCCCTGATTTCAAGCGCAAATGGCAAACAAGCCTTCAAACACCAGTACAAATGAAGTGACCACAACTTGGCCAGAGTTAGAGCCCTACGACAAGCAGGAGGTAATGAAGGAAAACCAAAACGGCAAAACGTGAAACAACAAGATATAGGCTAAGTCTGGCGAGGAAAGGAGGTACAACCCACCCCCCGCCCACCCCTCCAACAGAAATTGATTGATTCTGGCCTATGAACTATAGTGAAAGTCAATCTGTCAAATCATTCACACTATGGGTTCGCCATCTGTCGCAAAAAGGAGCATACAAACGATCAGCATATGAAAGAGACGTGCCCTGCTTAGGCCCCCTTCTTTGGGCAGTTGATTTCAAAGGGAAACCCCAACTGAGTCGGGTATTCAAATGGTCAACCCAAAGCCATGACGACAATTGACAAGGCAGATATCCGCGCCCATGTATCGCTGGGATTGTCCGTTACTCCACCTGGCTTTTGATTGTGACATATTGTGGCTCAATGAAGGTCTGCTGCGTTTCAGACCTCCCCTCCTCCGCTTGAGCTTCGCTCAGCTCTGCCTCGATGCGCTGCAAACATTGGCAGCGAGCGCTGAGCGGCGCACGGCCCAGGCGGTCACAGCGCAGAGCCTCCTTTCTGGGAATCCACCGGCAAACGCCCGGGAAAAAATAGCCTTTCAGAGATTCTCAGACGTTTTTGGGGTCAGCAGAACCTGCCTTTCTAAGACTTTCATGGGCTTGAGGGTCAGGAGAATCCGCCTCTTCAGAATGTTTGGCATCCTGTCGGGTCAAAGAAATTGCCTTTCGAAGATGCTCGGGGCCTCCGTCTGTTAAGGGTGCCCTCCCTCCAACCATGATGAAAACCAGGGAGCTGTAGGGCGACTGCTTCCCTTTTCAAGCATAACAACCACATGTCGGCTTCCATGATTGTTGGAAGGAGGGTGCGCCCAAAAAATAGCTGATAAGAAATCCTTCCTATGCGCAAGTTCTCCGCCCAAGTTCTCCGCGCAAGGTTCTCTGCACAAGTTCTCTGAGCAAGTCATCTGTGCAAGCGTGGTTCCTGCTGCAAATTTCGCCGTTCTGAGAGCAAGTTTCTCTGTGCAAGTTCTCCATGCGATAACTAAATTATTCAAGGCCAATGCCAGAGATCCCTCGCGCAAAGAAAACGTCGCGATGCTGCCGGGACAAAGTGCATTGCACTCACTATTCATTTCAGGCTAACCTCACCGAAGGCACATGGAGCCCATGTTTTGTCCATCTTCTGTGCTGTCACCCTTTGACCTGGATCCCGCTGGAGGCCATCTACTTCACCCTCTAACAACCAGAAAACAAACGCTGACCGTGAAAGGGGGTGCAAGACTCGAGGCTTTCTGGTCCTGTGTCTCTTTGGACTGGCGCTCCAACAGCTGCTCTGCCGACTCAATGGGCACTTCTAGGCCGAGGCTTGACCGCGTGAGCTGGGCCAACTTGGCCACGCGCTGGGAGCCTGAGCCGAGTGAAACATTTGGGTGTGAATTTTAGCAGTGGACCCTTTGGTGGGCATTGTCTGCTCACCTTGAAAGAGCGGGTTATAGACAGCCCCGGCAACCTGCAACATGTTTTGACCATGGCACAGATGTACTCCGCCACTGGGCGCGCGTGTCAGCGTTTTCTTGGCACATTGTTTAATAGGGAAGTCATGGGAAATCCAAAGTAAACCGGGCCCCATTCCGGTGTCCACATGTTTCACCCGGCCTGGCGCACGCTTGCCTTCTGGCTTCCTTCCAATGCCATGCAACACAAAGGGGTGCCCGACAAAGACAGAAGCTTAATTGCCAAAAGCCAACCTGTTTAGCAGCTTAGCATTCGTGTTTTGCCATGTTCCGTGTTGAGACTAGCTCCCAAGCGCTTAACAGCCTGAAGGATCATGGAACGGCGGCCCGCATAGTGTTGACCATGGCACATATGGGTCTGTTCAAGCTTGAGGGTATGATTCGAGGCTTTGGAAGTACGAAGGTGGTTGCAAAATAGGTTCCAAGATGTTCCAAGTTCCAATTCCATCATACGAACCCCCTCCCCCGCTTTTTGGAGAGATTACCAAGCATGTAAGTGAGGCCCCCTTTTCCACAGGAAAGAAGTCCTTGGCAGAAATGGCAAGTGTCTACCATACCCCTATCACTTGGAGGGGCTTCCCTTGATATCATAGAAAGCGGTCCTAAAACCATTATATTCCACATGGTCCCTTCAAGTATACATCCCGAAACAACCCGATTTACCAGAACATCCCCGAAATCAGGTAAAGGTGACTTTTCAGCTGAGGCCCCAGCTGGCATCTGAAAAAACACACAAACACGTGTAACCCGTAGTGTTCGTAGACACCCTCCCCCCGCCTCGTGCCACGTGTAGCCGCACGCAGCCCTTCATCTCCGCCAGGCTTCGGAAGCCGAAGCGGCGCAGCAGCGCCTCGCGGCCTGGGGCCTCCGCCGCCAGGAGCTGCAACGCGTGTCGGGGAGCTCCGGTGGTCCCTGGGTCGGGGGAACGCACTTAGGTCTGGGACTTAGCAAAATGGCTAGTAACCCTGGTTGCAGTGGACTTGCGACCATTGTAAGGGGGCTACGAGCAGGGTTACTAGCCATTTAGCTAACTCCCAGACCATCCAAGCAAGGGTCTTCCGCGTGAGGTTCGGACAATTCGTTGCCTGGGAAGGGCTGTGTGTTGTCTGGGAAAAATCCTTGAAACATGTGGCCGGTTGCCTCCGGGGAAGCAAAGGGGTGTGTTGAGGTCTGGCAAAACTCGTGAAAACATGTGCGGCTGTCCCCAATTTAAGGCTTCGTTTTTGGGGGAATTCAACATAGGCTATTTTGCACTTAAGGCAACATGGGAAGTACCCGGTGATTGCTTCAAAAGGAGTTGCGCTTATTCGTGCTAAAAAAAGACGCCTGGCGTGGGATGACAACTCGACAGGCGTAGTCGGTTAAATGTGGGTTGGTGACGTGAGTTGTGGAAAGGCTTTGTCGTTTTGGAGTCAAAATATACGTCTCAGACGATGGTTTACCCAAGCTTCTGAGATCCCAAGGCAAAACATTGCCGACGGCTCAACATGCTTGATGTGGACTGAAACGCAGGTTGAAGTTGTCAGCCCTGAAGCAGCTTTTCCACGCTCGAACCAGCAACATGGCGGGAGTAACACAACACCTTGTATGTATGTGAATATAAGTATATATTAATATATGTATGTATACCATGCTGCAGAATCCATTTATTGTAATGAGTAAATATATTGCCCCCATGGAGCTGCATCTTTCTTTTCTGTTTTGATGTTCCTGGTGCGGCCAAACTGGATGAGTTTTGTAGCTGGCAATCTTCGCAAACAAAAAGTGATCAATACAACTAAACGTGGTGAAATTGCGGCGCAACCCACATGAACAGCAGCACTTGCTTGTATTGAGTTTGACCCGCAGTCCCTGAAGAAAGAAACTGAAATATAGTCTGGGGGCAACGCGGGCAACCAGTGGAATCAACTTATGATCATGTGCAAAGTAAGATTGCTTGAACATATTGACAATTTACTCCTGCAACTTCCGAACCATAGGCATCTAGCAAAGTTGGACTGCACATTTCCTGACACATTTCCTAGCACATTTCCATGCTGGGCCTCCTGTGTGAACAACGGCTAATTGTTTGCTTCGTACTGGGCAACGATAACATATAGACTGGGCCAGACGGGCAACAGATTGGCTTATTGTTGGTGGAAGGAACAGGAAACAAAGGTAGGCCGAGTGGGGAAATATTATCATGGGGGGTTGAAAAGCCAAAAGCATGGGCCCCTGTTGGACCCTTGTTCTACCTTGAGCCACCGTAACATGCCTTAAAAGCGATACCAACCCTTACGCGTCTTAAATGGATCAAGACGCGGTGAAGTCTGTGCAGCTGCTCCTGAAAATTGGAATCCTCATAAATCACAAGCAGCTCCTGCAAGAATCTGATGGTCTCTTGCTCGGTCAGGCCGCCATGGCCCATGTCTCACTCGCCCAACAGAATGGATTTCATGCTGGGAACTTGGATCAAGCTTGGGGAACTTTGACATGTCACAAGGTCGAGTGTTGGAGAAGTGAGATAAGCGTGTATCCTATTGACCGTCCCGAAGCGTGAAAACAATACAAGCTGCGGTATGTGGGGTCCAGGACGATTGCCAAGATCATGTGCATCTAGTGCACACAGCAACTAGATGGCAATGAATGTTGTTCATTCTTGACCCCAAACGTGTAGTTGCTTGCTAGGTTGCAAGAAATCTGCACAGTGGCCTGTGTGTATGCCAAGCAATGCGGCCGGAACGACTCAAACGAGGTCAACGCGGCAGCGAGCAAACCAAGACATGAGTTGACAACATCAGACATAGCCGTTCATTCAAGTCATGTGACTTCTCGGCGAAGAAGCAATGGCCCGTACTTATCCATCAAGTCAGCCCAGTTTACTTGCCAAGTGTCCAGCCAACCCTGTACTTGATAACACGGGATGCGCACATGCAAACTCTAACAAAGTAAGCCGCAAATTGTTTTGGCAAAAGTACCCTCGCTTGTTGGTCTCATGCTTGGCTTCAATGTCAATTTGGCCATCGTTCGAAGCTGGAGGTCCCGACCATGAGGAGGCCCACGGTTTGGTCTTGTGCCTTCCTACTGGATTCAGCATGTTTTGGCCACTGGACTTTGTGAACTTCGGAATCCGTAGCCGCACTTATCAGGGACGGGTTCCCTTCTAGTGAAAACGTATTTCCCGTTTGGGAGAGATTCCTCTGATTGGTAGGGTCCTCTGGATGAATCCAAAGTTAACATTGCCAAACACATTGTGGGTATGTGTCAACATAGGACCGCATATTGTGGTGGCCCTTAACCTGAAAAGGCTACCCTCAAAAAAACATGCACACAAACATGTCTCAAAATTAGGGGACCCCAAGAATGCCTAGCTTCCTTTTGATTCCTGTCAAAGCCATCCAAAAGTTGGTTCCCGTTGAAAAACACATCCATATGGCGCGATATCTTTGATTCAAATTCTGGACGCCTCTGCCGCAAGCATGGCTTGCACGCCGGTTCCGCTGCAGATCAGAAGCAACCCTAAAACCCGCTGGTGCTGTTGGGATTAAGAAAGATGCCAAACAAATAGTACCCTATAGTCCCCTGTGATCAGTGATGAGGTGATGCTGAGTTCCTGAGAAGCAGTTTGGGCACGAAGAGAAGCCGCTGTGCACGCTATGAGCTATGCGCATGCGACTGGAAGCGGCGCATTTGTGACGCGGACTTCGCTCCATGGTCTGTAGCCGAAATGGGCTGCGAGGCTTGGGATCGGTTCGGTCAATCCATGAGTAACCCGTCTGTGGGGCACATGCTGGGACCTTTCAAGGCGCCAAGCAAAATCTGCGTCCAAGGCCCTAGAGGGCATGACAGCAAGGAAGCCGCACAAAGCAATACCTCTTCGTGACACATCGCGATGACAAGAATCCGTCGTACAACGCGCGCAGCTGCTGTACCATTCCTAACAGTTCCTACTAACTGTGTACATTAAAATAATCACCATGACCAGCTGTCGCCGCTCTTGGCATTCCACTCACCCTGGGACTGGGTGCTTTCCTCTTGCGTTGCGCCTGTCCCCTGCCAGTTGCTCCAGCTGTTTGCCTGAGCCTGGTCCTGGTCGTTGCCATCCTGTCGAAGCCCCAACGGAGTATGGGTCTAAAAGGACTCTGTTCGAGGCAGACCAACGCAACCGTATCAGCTTCCCTATTGCTGGACTTCAGACTTCGAATCCCAGAACGAAAGCTCCCATCTTCACCTGAACGGAATACAACCCAAAGAACGCGAAGGCAGCTTGAAAGTATCAACAGCTCGGTGAGTCGGACATTGGCTAGAAGGTAACTGGGATTCCCGAACAGCCGGCAATAAAAACATGGCAGCAAAAACAAGCAATGTGCTCATAGAGTGGCTTCAAGGAGTAGACTAATGCCATGCCGGGCCTTCCATCCCTCGAAATTGCCGTTTTTGCGGACGTCGGTGTAGTTCCACTGGTCATCCTTCTTCTTGGAGTACCATGTGCCTGCATCGGCACTGTAAGGAAATTTACAAGGCCAGCCTATTTCCGAATCTGCTCAGCACACCACACATTGCTTGGAAACAACCAGGTGGCCTCTGACCAGCAGAGAAACAACCATCGACGGTTTTGCAAGCGCCAGTTCGCTGCTATCACAGATTTGTTTTGCTCCTGTCTGCTCTCTACATCACAATGCAACCACATCACAGCGACAAGGATAACAGAAACCCTGAGCCTGTCAACTCAGACAGAATCTCATCCTTGGTCAAAGATATGTTTTGTGCTGCTGCGCTTGCAGTTCAAAATACCTGGATCTGTTTCACTGGCATAACCGCTCCGAGTTGGTCGTGTCAAGAATCAATGACATTAATTGACATATGCAACTTCCAATAGCACCGTGCGTCCACCATGTAGCAAAGGACGATACACAGCAAAGGCTAGATGGGTAGGCAAATGATTCAGAATAGATAATAGACTTGTCACAAGAGGTTCCTTCATCCCTGGCCTGTGACTTACCCCGATTCACTGCGCCGCCCCCGGAGCATGGCGAAGAGGTTGTTCGATACTGTGACGAACGAGTGATCATGCACCCATGTTTGCTTGCTGGAAGTCGTTTGGGGCATCAGGGAACTGGTAATCCGCTCAGACCAAAAGGCTTCCCCGCCTTCTTTCTTTTCTTTGCTGAGCGCGTCAAGCCAGTCCTGAAGCAAACGCGATCCGGCCAAAAGCCATGGGCGTCAAAGTTCAGTTCGAACGCTGCCATCATCTCATTTTGGGATGTCAGCCAAGGAAACCCTGATACCACATGTGTGGAACAAGGAGCCTCTGGCACCAGGTAGCCACATGTGACGGGCATACGTGGAACAGGGAACACACCTGATGATTGAAAATCCCATTCCCCAGACCGCAAGGACGATCCCTTTACCAGGTATAAAACCCCCCGTACACGGGGTTGTGCCTGTTGAGGGTACCCTTCTTGGGGTGGTTTGATGTGATGTTCAAGGAAACAAACCGAAAACCCGGTTTGGGGGTTCCCCCATTTAACGCATACCCGCTACATTGACGGGCATTCCGGATCTGTTTGACTCCATGGCGTCGACCATCTCGCAGCGGGGACCCCCAGAAAGCATTGCGGATTCTCAACTTTCTGTGCTCAAAATGCAGCCAATCCTCGTAGAAACATGACGGAATTTTCTACACATGGTCCAAACACCGGGATTTCCTGTAGAATTTCCAGGCTTCTTGGCTCTAATCCATTTTCCAAAGGGGATCCTGATGGGAAATCAACACCGGGGATCCTGCAAACATCCCTGTAGCATGAACTGAAGCCACAATGAACCGTACTGAGGAGCAAGCATCAAGACCTGAAATTCATGAGATCGCAGTGTGAATCTGACTCCTGGGTAACATTCAAGCACTACAGCGACTTGTGGAAAACAACCCGCCCTTCCGGCTGTTTGTTACCTGCCTGTGACCTACAGGGGAATGAAGGCAGGTCAAATGAAAGCATTGTTCCGACCCAGTGCTTGACAAGCATCCGGGATCTCCGTGTTTGGCGCACCCTTCATGATATCTGGCAGCTCAGTCAACAGATCGTCACCTAAAGAGAAACCGCGACAGAGCGAGAGTGGAGAGCAATGTGGGAAAAGTTGGAAAAGTGGCAACGCACCCAAGCCGATTTGCTGGCTCCTACGCAACATATAAACAATACACGATAGAAGCAAACATGTTATCCATTCACATGAGGATAATGTCGCTTGCATGCTAGGGGGATCAATTGACAAGGCACGGTTGGCAACGTGTCAAATCTATGTAACCCACTTCCACCCTTAGTGGGTGGCAAGAATAACAAAAAGGGCACCTTTCTGTCGGGTTGAGTCTCCAAAGAAACCTACCCGGACCAACCCGAGACAAGGGACAAAAGGTGCAGCTCGCAGCTACATACACCTTCCAGTTGCACGTTGGATGAGGTATAGCCCTCACATTTCAGTCGACGGAGCAGATTTCCTAGTGAGGGACTCTTGCAAATTTATCTAGCGCCGTCTCACCCCTTTGCACATGGGCCGATTCTGGACCTGGCTTCACGACGAACCGCCGAAACCGAGTCGAGTCGCTGTCAATGCACCATCCAGCCTCAGTCGCAAAGGCGCATCTTGCACCGCATTTGCGTCCCATCATGGTACGACGGCAAGCTTGAGAGGAAACTTTAGTCAGACATCCTCAAACTACCCGCATTCTATCGAGCTTACGGTGGGCTTACGGTGGTTCAAAGGAAACCGTCTCAAACAGTAACTTTCAGAACCCCTCAAAGTGCAACGGCTCTAGGGCTCCCGACTTCGAAGGTGATGAAGGTAATTGAAGTGCCACGATGACCGATGCGACCAGTTCTGCCAATGCGCTGCACATAAAGCGAGATCTCCTGGCCATCACATCAGGCATTGCGTTTATTCCACCAGGGTGGCACACAGGCGTGCTACATGCGAATAAGCAACGGCACTGCCTATCATGCTGACCTTTGATTGCAAGCACGCAGGGTTTGCATGTGGTTCACAAGCAGTTTCCAAGTCAACGGTAAGTGGTCGGAGACTGGTTCCTGAGAATTCTCAAGCCAAGTTTCTCTCCAAACCAAAGGGCTTCAAATGTGAGGCAGTACTGTGCCCGAAAGTAGCAACAGCTGAACCTCGCGACTGTTCACAAATTGCGAAAAGTTGCGAGTTTCAGCCGGAGCAGCGAAAGTTGCCGGCCTTTACAAATGCAAACAAGCTTGGCCTAAGCGTGACAGCATCTTACAAGATCCACTCCGCTGCCAGTTAACATGGAACCATCTTCATTTTGAGAGGAATCGCCTTTTGGAATGGATCCCCCCTTCCCCCTGCACTTTTTGGATCCCTTCCGTTCACTTTCCGTTTCTCGACGTCTCCTTAGGAGCGTCGTAGTTCAGCACGTGGGACACCCCACTGATATCAAGACCTCGGGAGGCCACGTCGGTGGCCACCATCACATCCACCTCAGAAGAACCCGTGGATCGATCCCCAGGTCGGACCCCATTTTCGGTTAATTGGGGAAAAGGAACCGTTGCCAATTTTGCGGGGACCACTCTTTTTTGAGAAGCCCAGCCTCTAGTTGGTAAGTGATCAGAGCCAACTGGATTCCATTGGTAAGTGGGATAGGTGTTTCTGGGTGTTTCTGGCAGTCTGGCACCCATGGTGGTTCCTGGCTTTGTGGCTGTTTGGGTTACACCCAAAACGCTGCAACAAACCGTTCACGCATGGTGGTTCCTGGCTTTGTGGTTGTTTGGGTTACACCCAAAACGCTGCAACAAACCGTTCACGCATGGTGGTTCCTGGCTTTGTGGTTGTTTGGGTTACACCCAGAACGCTGCAACAAACCGTTCACGCCCAGCCTGCGCTTGATCTGGAAAACCGCAGCCTGAAGTAGAGCCGGCGGAAGTTTCGATATAATAACTATAGTTTGAGTTCTTCTCTTCTTTCTCTTTCTCTTTTTTCCTTTCTCTTTCTCTCCTTTCTATCTTCACGTCTCCCTACCTACGCTTCTTCCATCTTTCTACCTATCAACCTCAGGGCTGCTTCTTGTCGGAAAATCCGCGGGTAGAAAACTAGCTCTGCGCAGGCCGACCCGCCGGGGCTCTACTTTTAATAGTTCCACGTTACGTTTACACAGGTGACCGACACACTAGATGCAAAGGAGGACAGACACTAAAAATCGCCACAAACGCATTGAACTTGCAACGCAACCCCTTCAAAAACCTCCAGGAGGAAAACTAAAAAGAAACGAGGTGTTCGGAAAACGGCCCGACCCTCACCTTTGAACCTCCGGCCCCTTTCCCAAAAGTGTAGAAGCAGCCATTTTCAATTCAACCCAATTTGGCCAATCCAAAGAGCAGCCGCCCCGGCTCTGCCAGGCTACGGCTTGGTAGAAGGCAAGTCATTTTTGCATTTCCAATGACAAAAGCCCAGGCTCCGCAAAGCCTTTTGGTCACACCACGAGTCACTCTACCGAGTGACGTTCCCAAAACAATGTGCATATCCCACTATTCAACCACTCCAGACCTGTACCCTTGATGGTTCCTGCTTATTTGGTGTTATTGCAAAACAAGCAACGCCACTACAGCCAGTGACAGCTTCCCCCAGGCTTTGCTGAATCATCACTTCTTCGAAGGGGTTGTGGACGGAATCCGGCACACGGCGTTCTGAAAAACCAGCGGCCGCCGCACCACATGAGTGTCTTTGCAGGGACAACCGAAGCTTCTCAAGACCAGCCACGCTGCAACACGGGCAGATGTCACGCGCAATCCCCGAGCCACTTGGCAAATCTCAGTGCCCCGACTGAAAGTTGCCTTGTAGAACTCAGCCTATAGCTGCCGCAATACGGGGCAGTGACCCCAAGCGGCGAAGGGCCTCTGCGTCAATATAGAAAAATGTTTCTGAGTCATGCGCGGGTGATGTCATATATGCTTGCCAAGGATGGTCGATGTCAGCTTGCTGTTCGCTTGCCCGACCAACGCCTACATGATCCACCAAAAGGTGAACCAGACCTTGCAAGCTCTTCTGCGTGCTGCGCAGCAAGACTTCGTTGCTTGTGCCCAAGGCCTGCAGGTAGAGAATGAAGCGCCCTGGCTCAGTTAACCTGTGTATGGTTTTGAGTGAACTTGAGTTTCGGCTTTGCTTTTTTGCTGCTAGGTTTTCACTCTGCGCGCGGTTGCGGTGAAGGGGGGCCTGAAGTACTTGGCGCAAGCCATGAACTTTTCGCGGTTTCCAGGCTGCGAGGAGGTGCTTGGCTTGCAGTAGGTTTTTATGTCTATTGTGTAAGTCTAGCTTGCGAGTTTCTCACCTAGCGAGATGTGCGACATGCCGGCTGTGTAGCGAATGTTTTCATATTTGCTGGCTTCAGGTGTGCATTCGCTGCGCCGCTTCTATGGGCCGCAAGGACATCAGCACGGTCTACACTGACATTTCCCTGCAAGCGGGCTGGCGTGAGGGGCCTGCTGCACCTCCTTACTTTGAGCTTCCGCCGCTCAGCGAGATGCCCAACTTCACTCTACGCATGGTCAGCGCAGACTTCATGCACACCTGGAATTCGGGTGTGGCTCGTGACTTGGTAGGATCATGTCGCAACATATGCCTGAAAACGCAGTTTTGGCCTGGCCCGAATTTGTCGCATAGGCTCAAACAACTTCAGCGCGACATCAACCTTGTCAAGAAGCAGCGTGGCTTGCAGATGCACCTTCAGCAGATTAAAACGTCTCGACTTGGATGGGCTGGCGCAGATGTCTGCCCAGAGTACAAAAGCTCGGCGTCGGATACCGCTGTTATGGTGCGGTTTTTAGCCTACAAGCTAAGCTTGAAGGCAGCCCCTCCGCCGTACGAGGGCCTGTACAGCGCCAATGGGCTTCAAGAAGCCGTCGCTCGTGGCAGCTGTTTCCTTAACCCTGCGGAAGTCGAGAAAATCTCGCTTTGTGGGAATGCATTCTTGTCCTCGTACTTGCAGCTGGCCCACTTAGCTTCTTCTCGTAGGGACTACTACTTTAAGCTGCGTCCCAAGTTTCATATCCTGCAGCACATCATTTCTGATGCTGCAGACAGACCTAGCCATCGCAATCCTGGCTGGGATAGTTGCTGGCTGGACGAGGATAGGGTGAAAACCAATCTTCGCATGCTTCGTAGGATGTCGCCTAGGACCTGTTGCGAGAACTTGCTTCAGCGGCACATGCTTCTAGTGAAGCAGAAGCTGAGCAAGCACTTGGCCAGCTGTGTGTAAAAACGGGCTTATCTGCGGCGTATACTTTCTACCCAAACAGGCCTTACAAAAAATAAACGGTCCTTAAAGTGGAAAACCCAATGACTTTTAAGGCGCCTTTGGGAAGTTTGCACTTTTTAAGGGCTGTTACGTCTTCCAGGGTGTGTGTGTGTGTGTGTGGGTGTGCGTGTGCGTGTGCGTGTGCGTGCACGTGCGCGGGTTCGGGTGCGCGCGCGGGTGCGGGTGCGGGTGCGGGAGCGGGCGCGCGCGCGCGTGTGCGTGTGCGTGTGCGCGTGCATGTGCGAGTGCGTGTGCGGGCGGGTGCGCGGGTGCGCGTGCGTGTGCGTGTGGGTGTGTGCGTGTGTGTGGGTGCGTCTCCGTGTGTGTGTGTGTGTGTGTGTCTGTCTGTGTCTGTCTGTCTGTGTCTCTGTGTGTCTGTGTGTCTGTGTGTGTCTGTGTGTGTCTCTGTGTGTGTGTAGGTGTGTGAATGTGTGTGTGGGTGTGGGTGTGTGTGTGTGTGTGCGTGTGTGCGTGTGTGCGTGTGTGCGTGTGTGCGCGTGTGCGCGTGTGCGCGTGTGCGTGTGTGTGCGTGTGCGCGTGTGCGCGTGTGCGCGTGTGTGTGTGTGTGTGTGTGTGTGTGTGTGGGTGTGCGTGTGGGTGTGCGTGTGGGTGTGCGTGTGTGCGTGTGTGCGTGTGTGCGTGTGTGCGTGTGTGCGTGTGTGCGTGTGTGCGTGTGTGCGTGTGTGCGTGTGTGCGTGTGTGCGTGTGTGCGTGTGCGTGTGCGTGTGCGTGTGCGTGTGCGTGTGCGCGTGCGTGTGCGTGCGCGTGCGCGTGCGGGTGCGTGTGCGTGTGCGTGTGCGTGTGCGTGTGCGTGTGCGTGTGCGTGTGCGTGTGCGTGTGCGTGTGCGTGTGTGTGTGTGTGTGTGTGTGTGTGTGTGTGCGCGTGCGCGTGGGCGTGTGTGTGTGCGCGTGCCTGTGTCTGTGTCTGTGTCTGTGTCTGTGTCTGTGTCTGTGTCTGTGTCTGTGTCTGTGTCTGTGTCTGTGTCTGTGTCTGTGTCTGTGTCTGTGTCTGTGTCTGTGTCTGTGTCTGTGTCTGTGTCTGTGTCTGTGTCTGTGTCTGTGTCTGTGTCTGTGTCTGTGTCTGTGTCTGTGTCTGTGTCTGTGTCTGTCTGTGTCTGTGTCTGTGTCTGTGTCTGTGTCTGTGTCTGTGTCTGTGTCTGTGTCTGTGTCTGTGTCTGTGTCTGTGTGTGTGTCGTCTGCGTCTGTGTCTGTGTCTGTGCCTGTGTCTGTGTGTGTGTGTTTGGCTGTGTGCGTGTCTGTCTGTCTGTGTGTGTGTGTTGCTATGTTTGTTTTGAGAGTGGTAGTCGGCGTCGTCATAGCAGTAGCAGCATAGCAGCGGCAAGTAGTTGCCGTTTCACGGACGATCCTTCTAAACGTCCTTTGACAACTGTACTATTCGAATACTTTTGCCAGTTCCTGGAGAAAAGAAGGCAACCTTTCAGTGCAAGTCGCAGATGCCTCACAAACACCAAACATGGAACTCGCTATGGACTTGTGTTGGAGTTATTTTTGGGTTTGTGTGAGTTCCTCAGCCAATGCCTTGATCTCGTGTAAGTCATCTTGTGCTGCATTGTTTGCTACAACCATACCGTGTTCGAATCTCGTTGATTTGGGGGGGGGGCTATCTTGTTTTACAACGAACAGCCCAAAGTTTTATGTCTCAGTTAATCCACAATCCGTGTATTTGTCAATCGCTCAAGGCCTCACTATAAACCACAGTCCTGGTGACCTTCCGCGGCCTTTTACATCCCCTAAGGGTCTGTGCGTGTGTTTCTGATGGTACCCCATGTTGGCTTCATTAAAGACAAACTGCAAGGCACACCATTTTGGGTGGAGACAGGCCCAATAAAGTCAGTAGCTGTCGCAAAGCCTCAGTCGGGTTGGGCCAACCCCTTGTTTTGTAACAGCCGGGCCTTGCCGTCCCGGAACTTGGCCAGGTTGGCTTCTCGGGCCGGCTGATCCAAATCTCCGTGGATGGCAGCGGTGGTGGCCACTTCGTGCTTCTTGGTCCGAAGCGACGGCTGGAAGCCTACTCACACCGCACCGCCAGCGTCCAAATTTGAACAGGTTGGGTGATGGTTACGCGGACGGTCAAGCAAGGGCCCCATCGATAAGTTTCACAAATGCCATTCACCCAGCCACAAATCGCGGAAAGTGGCAAGAATATCCTCCTCGTTCTTTCGTGTGCCCTATGTGGTTTCTTGTCACGGTTTGTTTTGTTCTTCACAACCGGGGTTTACTACGTTAAGACAAGGCCCAACAACTGCTTGTTGGATAGCACTTCGAGTTTGATATGGAAAAAGCAGCCATCGCGTTCTGGAGTGGAATTCATCGAATTTCCGAAACAGCACATTTTTGAGGCTTGCTGGTTCTCAGAGAATCACAAGGGTTTTGAGAATGAAGCTGGTGATTCTCGGAAAGGAGGCCAGTTGCCATGATTCAGTTCGGCTCAGCTCATTCACCTGAGAACCAGCAAGGCGTCCAGCCTTTTATTTGGGTTTGTGTCAAAAGGGGGGGACGATTTTCAAAGCAGTTGCCACTCCCAATACCCCCACCCAAATCTTGCGCAGTCAAGTGGGGAATTCCCACTAAACAACAGTAAGCAAGAATGTGACATGTTTCCCACCAACAACCATGAAATGTCGCATTCGCCTGCCTGAGCACAGCAATACTGGGGCCTGCACCCAGAGCTCTTGATCCAGAAGCTTGGCCTGCAGGGTGCCGTGCAATCAGCATTTGCATTTTGCCAACGAAAACAGCACCAACGAAACATGTCCAGGCAAAGCCCCTGATAAGCCCAACTCAACCAACATCTGGCCCCAGTGTTTTGTCAAAATCACTCCCCAAGTGATAGCTCAAGGGGAAACAACCCTAGTTGCTGACTTTGATAACCCCTAGAAACAGTCAAAATAATGGCCCCAGAACATTGCCCTCTTTCCCCTGCTCCGAACGTGCGCTTGCTAGTTCCATTTCGACTGTGCGTCAAAATTTGAGTCTGATCCCTTGGCTTGCTTGAGGGTAACAGTGAACAATGGCTCCTGCTCAAGTCTTCACGGACCCCACTTTGAGCATTCCACCTGGTTCTTGCTGTTGGTGAAGACCAGCATCCTCTCATTGCCTTTCCTTTGTTGCATGAAACCGGAGATGAACTCCACCAGCTTGTCCGTCTTCTCTGCCTGAAACGAGGCTGGCACCCGTCTACAAGACATGGTTAAAAGCTTGGCACAGGAAAATACAAGTCTAAGGGGCCACGCATGTGTTACAACGCCTCTCTTGTAAGAGCCTGATCTAAGGAGGGCCCCCCCCCAATTTGCGGAGAAACAAAAAGGACAAAATACGCACGACGCCGAGTCCTATTTTCCGCTGCCTTCTCCACCTTCTGCACAATCTGTGTCACGGTAACCGCAGGGCTGCCAACCACGCCTCACCGACCCCGTTAGTAATGATCACAGCTAGATGGCTTTGCAAGGGTTGAGGAGTATCAAGGGCCATAGCCTTTTAACTTTTAGAGATTAGAGACAAGGGGCATGGGAATGTGGCTTGGTCTGGTGATGGGTCACATCCCCAACCACCAATCCACACCAACGGGGTGAGGCGATTACCGGCAAAGCCCTTATCTTTGTTGCAATCCCATGTGCATGGATGGCTTCATGGTCATGTCAACCTTGCCGTTTAAGGTGCTGTGAGCTCCTGAATGAACCTCTACATGTCAAGCCCAGCCATACAAACCCCGGGGAGGATGTCTGTTTTAGGGGTGAATAAGGCACGCAATTTAGTGTCGCAGGGTTAAGCCCAGCGCCGACTGAAATGAAGAGGTGATCATGCAGATACTTGAGCGCGAGGGTTTGAATCCTCGGTCAGAGGACGCAAGATGGCATGGAAGCTGTGGACCTCCGGGGGTTACATGAACGTCTGAGCATGCTGCTGTTGGACGTTCAGAAAAGGTGCCAAACAAAGCAAGGCTTGGCGTTGTGGTGGGTTCTCTCTTTTGCCTCTCTCCTAGTTGAACACAAGGGCTCTGACTGCTCGAACCAGGTTGCGACGTGTTCTGGCCGAAAGCAGAGCTGACCGGGGGCACTTTACATCAACGACATGATCCCCAGCTGTGGTTGGCACAAACTGTATCTAAGCAATAAAATCAGCATCAGGAAGCAACACTGCCAAGTGCAGCCAATGTGTCTCCTGCGGAAATGTGGCTGAGAACATCCACGTCTGCCGCTCCGTCTTTGGCGGCATGCCGTGATTTTCAACCTCAAAAGCTGCATCAAGCTTTGGACGGTTCAAGGTGCTGCACCTGCGCCTATGATCACCCAATCAACATAACAACAGGTACCCTGATAATCCCATCCCCCTGATTCTACCCCTAAACACACAAGTGCATGCCTCCCAGATGAGCCTAGATGTGGACATGAGACGCAAAAACAAGCCAGGATGCAAACATTCAATGTTGAAAAGTCTAGTTAACCCGCCCCAGCGCCTTGCCTGGACCCAATTGCTCTGCGACTCTGGGATTGTAAGAATTCGCAACAATAAACTTGGCTTCTATCCGACGTGTGGAGCTTCGGACGATTTCGGGCTGGGTTGAATGATGTACTCGGTTTTGCGAATACATGTTGTACTAGTGGGAATAATCACAGTTCGAGACCGTGCAGTTTCATATGGAGCAAAGTGATGGTTTTGTGACCTGTGGTGTAGGCAAAGTCAGGGAAGCCCATTGATGTTTATTTGTTGTTACGGCTTGATGCGATTTTAGTATGATTGGCATGGATGTTTGTTTTGTTTTTTTCCCGCCGGGTTTACGCTTGTTTTTCCCACTTTCTTTCTTCTGGTATACCATCTTGGGGGGTTCTCAGAAGAGAAATTGGTGTCCCGGGAACACGTAAAGCAAATCAGTAAAACAAACAAACAAACAACCCAAATTTAGGGGGAACATATTGTAAACGTTGCGTAAACTGTACCAAGTCATACGTCTTTTTGACTTTTGTTACGTGTTTGTTGTTCAAGGACTTCCGGCAACCCCCGGCCTTCAAGGGGGGGGTAAGCTCGCTATTTCGCAGGGGGGCGAGGGCTGAACGTGCAAAACACATTGCCCACGCACACGTCTGGCGGCAACAGACGGCAACATCTTGGCCGACACAAAGCAAAGAACCGGATAATAGGCTTAAATATGCAAAGGACAAGGTCAACGATCATTAATAGGTTCATCAGCCGTGCTTCACCACCCTTTTCTCTGCCCCTCTCCGTTTTTTTTGTCTCCTTGTCCCTTATCGCAAATAACAAAGTCATTCCCACAGCACATCAGCTCACCGGACAAAAGACATCTGCTTAGTGTCGTCCAGATTCAATACGAAAGAGTCATTCTCACATTCAGTGCATTAAGGCAGGTGCAGTTCTTGAGATCAAGTAACCACTCCACTGTTCAGTTCACTCCGTCTTCCCAATATGCTTTCTTAGCCCCAGCCAATCTCTGCATGATTGGAGCTAAACTGAAACGACCGCCATGGGCTTTCAGCCAAACTAACCTACTACAAGGACATTAGCGACGACCCTCGGCCCTTTCCGAGCCACAATGTCCTCGATCTGCTCCTTCCATCCCAAGTCCAGCATGCGATCAGCTTCGTCCAAGACGAAGCAATTCACATCCGCAACGCTGATAATCCCGGCACCCACAAAGTCGTACAAGCGCCCCACGGTGGCCACGCAAAGGTCTGCACCTCGAAAGTTTGCCCAACCGGGAAGAGACAACGACATGCCGGCGCAGTCGCGCAGGTGCTGGGACAAGGACTCAAAACCATGGGCCATGGGGCATACAAGACTCAGCACCAGGACAGGCTCAGAACACCTTCCTTTGGAAACATGAACACGTCGCATCCGAAAGGCTTGAAACAGCCTTTAAGTTCAAATTCCGTGCCTCGGGCAATCTCGAGGATTTGGGTCTTCGCCTTTTCTTGGCCATAAACACGAAGGCATCGATGCTTCGTCTTATGGCAAAACTTCAAGGCATCTTCAAAGATCTGGAGGCAGAGCTCCCGGGTGGGGGACAGAATCAGCGTGTCAGGCTTGCAAGGGCCTTCGAAGGCCACCTCCTGCACGAGACCCGGGCACTTGCTGATGAGCTGCCGCCATGCGTGCAAGAACAAAACTGGCTGAGGACAGGGCCATAGAACCGACGGCTTTGTGATGCTTGATCATGCTTGCCAGAGTTGGCACCTGACGAATCAGCGTTATCATTGTGTCACAATGGGGGGAAGGGGTGAGCATCCCCAAAAACGGTGTTCCTTTTGCTGCCCGTTGAGACCAACCTAGAAAGGATACCCTCCAAGACTTCAGACGTTCGCAGGCCCAATGCAGCTCAGGGGCAAGAAAGGCAGCGGTTTTGCCACTGCCAGTTTGGGCGCAGCACATGATATCACGTCCTGTGCCAAAATACATGGGTTGTCTCAAAGATGGCACACATGGGGTACATGGGGTTGTTTAAGATGTCTGGGTCGGGTACATGGGGTTGTCTAATATTTGTGGGACGTCAAAAGGTGTCCTTCTTCTGGTTGACTCTTCTGGCTTCCCTTGAAAAATTGCAGGGAAACAAACCACACATCCAGAAAGTGCCTTGCGCAAGTGTCTCGAGTGGCCCTGCCTGCCAATGCAGCTGGGATGGCCCATTTTTGGACCGGCGTTGGCATCGAGAAACCACACCTGGGCTCATGGGGTGTGGCTTCACTGTTGTCATTTCATATCGCTCCCGCCCTTTTGTCCACAAGGCATAAGGCCCCGTCTTGTTCATGTTCTCCTCCAGCTGCACCGGAATGTCCCCTGCAAACCTGGTAAAGAGGTCCTCGAAATTCGCGAGGCGTCTGATCTGGTCTGTTTTCGTCCCATTCACGGTCACCGCCACGGAGTCATAAAGACAAAAATCTTCACCGCTGCCTGACCGGCAATTCAGCTTTCGAACAACCGGCGAAGCTTAGGTTTCGGCATCAAAGGATTGCATTGACAAACAGCTCACATGTTGACACAAAGGCAGAAGGAGACACAGACCTCCACAAACAGAGCCACATAGACATCCACCCTCCCATGCAGTGTGTGTGGTCTTGTTGTATCCAATGCAATGTGTGTGTGCATGGGTGTTTGCGTGTGCTGAATGTATGAATATATATGTGTGGGTTTGTTTGAGCGTTTGCTTACCTGGCCATTGGGTCTGTGTGTGTGTGATTATGTGAGAGAGCTTCTTTGTCCTTGTTTTGTTGCGTCTTTGCGGTGTGTGTGTCATTGTTTGTCTTTGCATGTCGCGGCCTATCTGCGTGTGTGCGCTATGTGTGTGTGGGGTGTGTTTGTAGTGGGACAACATGTTGAGTCTTTGGCGTCGTTTGCGAGAATTATGAGAATTCCGTGCACCTGTTCTGTTGCTCCAAGGCCAAAGTGTGACCCTTAACGGCAAGCGATCCAGCTCACGGGGGTCAAAAAAATAGGGTAACCCCAAAATGAAACCAGGACTAAATGGGAACAAGGACTGATGGCCATCGGTTCGTGGCAGTTTGTGGTGCATTTTGACGATGGCCATACGGTGCCTTTGGATTCCGCCTCACCGCTGAAGGGATCCATCTCTTCCTGGCCTCCTGGCATGCGCCGACTGCCTACTGAAGGGTGGGGACACTCCTGGAAAAAAACACAGACACACGTCATGTTCATTTAGCTCCAAAACAATTTTGTAGACCCAGCAAAACATCCAAGCAAGGGAAACCCAAAAGAAGTGTTGGGGTGTGGTGTGGGAAACATTGGGGTTTCCACTGGTAAGCAGGCGGCAAGTGATCATGTCACTCAGAACCCCCCCACCTGGAAGGATCCCGCGCTCTTTGTTCCACTCTTGGGCGGATTGGAACTCCCTTTGATAGCCTTCCCAGCGCTTCTTCTCCTGATCTTCCCAGCTAGGCGCTGCTGTACCCCCCCAGCTTCCCCAGGCGCCATTCGACTGCTCGGTCTGGGCTTGGCCCTGTCAGGGTTGGAGGTCTCAGACAACCAAAAGCCAGTGGTTTAAGCTGACGACGTTAGGGAACGTCGCACTCCCGGCAAGGAGTGAGGGGGGGGGGGGGTCAAATCGCTCTTCGCCCTGGCATCCTGGCGTGTTCAGCATCACATTTCTTGTCGAGCATCTGGAACTATAGTTGGTTCTCACTTTGGCCAGTGTCAGGTCGGAATTATCCAGCCTCACACACACACACACACACACACTCCAACACATTTCCGCGATTGCTACAAAGCCCAGCTTGATCGTGGATGCGCGGCGGGTCTTCGGTCGTACTCAACCGAGGCAAAAAAGAAACAACATATTTCTCTGCTGGGTAGCAACGAAAACATGTATTGCTTCATTAGATCAAGTTGGTCTTCTTCCGTGATCGCAAACACAAGTCCTAGATCTTGCAATGTCACACAAACACGACCTTCTGGCAGATTCACGCCTCATCTTGCTTCAAGCGATGTTCACACATTAAACAGGCGTTCGACCAATCCTGGCTTGACCCTGAAAAGATCACGGGGACCACGGGACCTAGCTAAGCCTTGCAATTGAGAAGGGCCATGAATAGGAACTGTTTGAAGATTAATATGGACTTGAAGTCCCATGCCTGCGGGTTGTTCCAGGAGTTCCAGGAGTCGTTCGCGTTACCCCAGCTCGACCAATTGTCTGCCGCCGGCTCGGCTTGGGCAGGCTGCGGTTCTTCGCCTGGCGAGCCAAGGAGCAAAGGCTGGGGTTGGGGGGTTTGCGGGTTCAGGCTTGTGATGGGAATTGACTGGTTGGGATGGGGTTTTGGGTTGGCTTTGGTCGGAAAAATCTCGTCTCGTCTGAGGGGGGAGACATCCATTTGAAGGGTGCCCCTATCTGCCCACAGCAATCGGGGGACGATGCAATGGAAGCTTCAGAAGCCTAAGCTGAGCCCACCTGCAAACTACAACAGATTGCGTCATATTGCATCCAAAGAAGATGAATCATTGAGACTCCTCTGTGTCCACGGTTAAAAGAGCAATTTCCAAGACAATTGGTCTTGTTGCGCAGTGGCAATGCCGACAAAGGACACTTGTAATTTTCGCAGGCTGGCGAGAAAAAAAATGGCCTGCGTCAAGCGCCCCGCAGCTCTGGCTGGGTTTGGTTTCGAAGCAACTTCAAGGGAAGTGAGCCCCACAAACACCGGGTGTTAGAGGGAAACCAAGACCACTGAGGGTGCACGCTACGCAGTAGTGCTTTACTCACTTCGCAAAAGCTACGAGCTTTATAGCAGAAGCTCGGATATCCACTGCCTGCCAGATTTTGACGCGTTTGCTCAGTGCGCTCTCGAGTGCTATCAAAATCCCTTTTACTTGGATCTTCTTGGAAGAAACTGGGGCCGCCGAAACATTACAGGGCCATGTGACCAAGCCAGGGCTTCTCGAGCGGCCTTGATCGACGCGCGTCCAGCTGGTGGACAAGGGTGGCCCGAAAGTGATTTTCTCAGGCGTGTAGTCGTGCCAGGTTCCAAACAGCCCGAGCTTGCCGTTTTTCAGCGTGCCGGATTCGTGATAATTCAATTTCTCGCAGGAGGCAGTGACGGTCTCCCCCTGGATGTCGAGGATATACTCATTCCCATTTGCATCTGTCCACCGCTGCGATGGCGCTGATGCCGCGGCTGGTGGATAATACGAGTTGTTTGGGACGGTGTTGGTACCGCCCCACGGGTCGACCGCTTGCCACGGATCCGACATGTTTGATCTTAATCCTGCGAATATGTGAAAGAATGAGGGCATCCCACATTCCCGTTTGAACAGCACATCCAAGGCCCATCCAAAGTAAACTCACTCTAAACCCTGTGAGAAACGCCGAGCGCCGCATATTTTCCTTTTGCCCCATGCAGAACATCGAGGTGAAACCGCGAGGCGACGCCTTCGGTTTCATGATGTGCTCTAGCATCCAAGATCCAGTGCCCAATTTGTCATCGTGAACCAAAATGTGTATACAGTTAACAAAATCTTCGGGCAGGTTGACTTCAAGTAGGGGAATCCAGTCAGATTGCTTGATTGGCGTGTCACCGCTTCAGCTTCGGCCGATTCGGCTCAGCGCACCTTTCTTTTCACGGCGCGGTTGTCCCGTTCAAATCCTGCGAGTGACAGCTCCGTAATAAATGCACAATCAGCATCAGTCCGAGATCGCAAACCAAGGCATGAAACAGGTGGAGAGGGATTAGAAGGTGATCCTTGTAGAGAGTGCAATTGTGTGAGTCGCTTCATGAAAGTGCACGCCGTCCATGCGAAGGGATAATTGCACATAACTTCGCAGGTGGCTACTGCATGGTCCATCAGCACGGTTGAGCCCGTCGTGGACTACCCAAAACCCATACCCAAACCTGCAAAATGGCAAAACCGAGTAACACCAATAAGGGCCCACACACACACGCAACCGATGCCCGGATAATGTTGTCCGTTGCTCAGATGCTACTCGCTTGCATCGCTGGCCTTGCACAAACTTTCGGCCCTCCGCAGCAGCCTTGTGCTCGTGCGTGTCCTCCAGGTACCTGCGAGGCCACGTTGATTCATGGTCCACAGAAACTGAGGTCTGAATTCCTTGCTGGGCTGACGAGGCTGATTAACATGGGGGGGAGAGGAGGGAGCCAACTAGTTTTGATATACTCAAGTCGCGTTGACTGGCTTCCTTTTTGGCTTCTCTTTCAATCGCATCCAAAAGGGAGTCTAACAGTTCAGTTTGGACACACGCCTTCCAAAATGGCCAGTTGTTGTCTCCAAATTGGGGACTTGGACTCCGCAAAACAGGCGATTTCCCTTGGTTTCCCCTCTGAACGACCTCAAAAGGGTCTCAAAACAAACACTCACTTTGGGGCAGCAGCTGGACCCCCACGGGATGTTTAACTCTTGTTTCAATGGCTCCCAACGTCGCCCTGACACCAAATCCTTCTACACGCACTCCGCCGCGGTGTCCAACACCTTCCGAACCCCTTGGAGGAACTCGGCGATGCTAGAGTACCTCTCGAATTGTAACCCGCATACGTCTGTCAGGTCAAACATAGTCACCCAAACTGCATCGACACAGTGTGACTATGAGTGTCCAAAAGGATATTTTTGGGGGGGCATCAAGGACTGGTGTCAGATTCCCCTCTCTATGGGTGTACAGCAAATGTATATATATATATATGTACACATATATGACAGCATATGTATATATATATATATATATCATGTCACAAGTATGTGTAATATGTTAAGGGGGGAATGGCTTTCTGGCACTTGGGAAGTACACTCAGGGAGTCGTGCATAACACAAGCCCTTGAAGGGACTCCAAAGCATTCCACACTTGAATGGAGCTCAGAACGAGTGGGACCCTTTCAAGATGGTCTTGAAGGCAAGCCGAAAGTACTGATGGGTTAGCCACCCTGAACAGCCAACAGAATTCCTCCGCTTTAGGGATGGTCATGGAGCTCTTAGTCGGAATCTACCGAATCTGTTGCCTGAAAAGCACAAAGGTTTGAGATGCGGCTCCTCCCAAACTACCGTGCCCACTCGTCGGCTCTCAGGTTGTCCTTGATCTGCCTCAAGTTGATGTTCTGGTAATTCGGCTGCCTGGAGATCCATACAATTGGAAACCCAGCCATGCAAGCAAATGGCTCAGTGCTGAACATCTTTGAAGCTCACAAGTCGCTTCACATTGCGCAATGAATGCATCAGCGGCTCCCGCTGTGCATGAGAAAGCACGCGGGCACGCTTTATAGAAATGATGTGCTTCACGCATCTCGAATCGCGGAGATAAACAGCCAAAGCTGTGCATGCACAGGAGACAAATCGATTGATTCAGCTATACAACTCTGTGGTTTTCCCTGCTGTGAGACTCGACAGGGTGGATGACCCCAGTTGCAATGGGATCCATGGCTCAGCTCAAAGGCTGGATGGTCTCCGGATGTCTCCAAATTCCTTGCACCTTGTGGCCTCTAGGCTCCAAGGCCCCGAATTTCGAGAAAACGCGAATGGAATTTGATGGCCCTAAGTTCGCACCTCGTGAGACTCTTGCCCAACCGAGGCGTTATTCAAAATCACCAATGAAACTGAGGCTAAAGTTAGGCGTAATGCCTAAGCCGCTCCTCTTTGAGCGGCGAAAAATCCTGAGCACCATGCATTGGGCCCAACCTCGGCGGAAAGCGACTTTGTTCCCGGGGCTGGTGCCTTCAGGAACTCAAGCTCAACAAAAGCTAGGCGCATGAAAAAGCATTCATCCTGGGCCCGACCGTGCAAGCGTGCCAGAGTTGAACAAATGCATTTCTCGGATGTGTCCACACCTTAGACGGTGTTTCAAAGGCCTGTGATCTGTCCTGGTTTGCTCCAAAGGCGGCAACCACTAAAGCCAGCAAGCAGCCGATCAGCAGCGATAAACACGAGCGCTCTGAATCCAGCACTCCAGAACAGGAACGTGTGTGTATATATATAATATCTGTATGTGTATGTGTACATATAAAAACAAAAAAAGTGCACATGTTGTTTTTGTGGTCCCCTTTCCAGCTTTGCATAAAGGGGAGCTAAAAAAACAAACACCCTTTTGAGTGTCCCGTGTTTTGACATGTCCATAGTTACGAAAAGGCCTTTGACGCATGGCTTCCACACAGGCGATTGGTTGCGATCTTGAGGGAAAGTAACATATAGCCTCTGGTAGACCTGTATGTTCAAGCAGCTCAAGGTCTCGTTTGCGAAATCCACTTCCCTTAGCACAAGTCACTCCACAAAAAGGAAGGACCACCAAGGTCCCGGCAAATTCAGGTTGCAATGCTCGCCAGCAAATTCAAGTAATTGTCCGTGCGGTGCTCATCCACGCCCTCCGCCAAGGTGCCTACGTCTCTCTCCTCCACCTGACAGGCTGGCGGCGCCTTCGGCTGGCGGCTGGCAGGGGATGGACCCACATTTTAAGCCGCCAGTTCCTCTAAGGGGGGGTCCCATTTAAAAGGAGATTGAGCTTCCGAAAACTGTCTATTTGACCGGTGGGTTTCCAAAGGCACGGGTAGAATTTGATAGCCCTTGAAAGATGCTATCCTACGGTGTCCTTTGGGGCAAATAAAGACTGTGGGCCCTCTAGCAACCAGAGTGCAGAAGCACAACTGGAAGCTGGAGTCAAAACAAACGTGCCATCTGCATGGTGCTCAAGCGGAAAGGAATGAACCAGCCATTTGGGTCTTAGCACTAATTACCTATCACAGGTGCACCTGTTGCTTTTTTTGGAGCCGCCAACAAAGGTTGCTTGTTTGGGCCGCACAGGAAGGCACAAGTTGGCCTTGCCCTGTACTGCCGTGCTCCATAAAAGTGTGACCAAGCGACCGAGGGACAAGAATGGGCTGAAGCAGTGGGGTTGTTTTCAAGGAAAGCCTTTCAAAGAATCCTTAACTTCGTGATGTCTTGAAATGAGGTACACCCTTACATCATCAGACATCAACCAATATGGAAGCCAAGAAGGGCCATAGGCAAAACCAAAAAGACAACTATCCTGATGCGAATGCTTTTGGATCGGGCCATTCTGGTGACACCTCTCTCGGCACCGCGAAAAGCGCCTCTGGGCCAATGAGTAGCTCCCCCTCTGAGGTGAGGAGGCACAACTTCCCGGCGTGGCGGTAGCCTCGCCGAATCGGATAAACTGCATATGGGCGTGTTGTGAGACCAAAGGGAAACCTGTGGATGTTTATCCGGGGAGGGGCATGATGCTGGGAAAGCACATTGCCTTCTCTCTCCATCTAGAAATCGCTTCGTGGCCTGTGTTGGAGTTGTTTGGACATTTACATGTATGTGCTGATTGGCTCTGAAAAAGGAACCACCTTATCCTGTTTCCCTTGATACGATTATTGCGAGGGGCTCTCAAAGTTAACCTTGGGGTGGCCTTCCTTTAACCACCAACTCGACCTCGATTTCCTTCCTCCAGAACTCCGGGGCTGGTTCTCTCCTTAAACGGAGGTGTCCCGAGATTGGGAAAGGACCAAGACTGGGGAAAGCGAAGGGCTCCCCCAATATGTCCCCCTTAAACATTTCTCCACTGAAAAGGAGGTCACTTATGGGCCCAAACAAAGATGTTTAAAACCAACAACAACAAAGAAACACATATCGGAAGCTTCAGCTGGAACATGTTCAACCACATCCGGCGCTGACTTGACACTCCGTTGATCACTTCCTTGATTGCTTCCTTGCTTCCGTCGCTGACTTGATTACTTCCTTGCTTACTTCAATTGCTTCCTTCCTTCCTTCCTTGATGACTTCCTTCCTTCATTCCTTCCTTTCTCTTGCTGGTGCTCAGTAGGGACTCTGGGAAGGAACCCAGGGATTCCCTCAAAGAAAACCACAAGGGATGGCTTATAAGTTTGATTAAGTTTGTAAGGCTCATTCCCTCATTCCCTGCCCATCGCACCAGCGCACCACCGTGGGCCCTGGCCGCTCGCGGGCACCGTGGGCACCGCGTCGCAGTCGTTCACCAGGCGGACGGCACAGCACTTCCCAGCTCCTCGAATCGGTTTCCGCAGCGGAGGCGGTGGGGAAGCTTGGAGTCACCTGTGAATTTCTGGGAAAAAAACAGGGAAACGGCGTTTAAAAATGCAAAAATGCAAAAACAAAACAAAAAAAACACGGTAAACACAAGGGGAAGATAAAACAGGGTAAAATACAGCTGTCGCTGCATGAACAAATACAACTCTCCAGTGATCAACGTGTAAATTATGTTTGTGGGTGTGGGCACATTGAGGGACTCCCTGAGTCGGATAATCCAAAACAAAACCAATCGCTGTTGGAGTCAAGTATTGGTGGACATCATACTGTCCTGAAAACTACGGTAAAGCTGACCCAGCCCATTGTTAGAGGAAACCTCTATCAGAGTAAAACGATCGACTGGTTGTGGGTGGGGAACATCCACTGGGACCCTTTTGGGATTAAAGCCGATGACTGGTTGAAATCGGACAACAAACCCAGAGAGAGAGAGAGAAAGGGAGAGAGAGCGACAGAGAGAGGCGTCCAGGATCCACTGTATCCTTTCGGCAGGCACGGATTTGTCTGGAATCAGTCGACAGTAGCTTTCCTTGGTTCTGTTGAGTTGACCCCGCTTGTTGTCTTCAGCCTGCATCTGCCGCGAAGCGAAATGCCCCAAACGGTCGCGTGACAGTGGGGAATTCTAATTTCTAATCCCGGGGGGGAGTCCTCCATCAAGGATCAAGGGGTGGTTTTGACTTTCATGGTGATTGAGGGCAACAACAGGTGGTTGCTGTGAAAACAGAAGGCACTCCAACACATAGGCCTGGCTTGTAGGTGGCAAGCACTTCTGCAACTGTACCAAACATGGGTCCCACAGGGTTCCAACCATAGTGCGATGTGAACATGTGTGTCAAATTGTACCTCAAGCGAACGCAAGGTCAGGCTCCATCTCTAACAGCAGCCCGACAAGGCAGTGCTCAACAAACTGCAAATGGCAAGAACTTTTGTTGACTATCTGATAACAATACTGTTCGCATAGACAATGTCTTACAAAAGCCAAATTGACTGAATTGATGCCAGAAATGCCGAGGCCCTTTTGTGCCCGCCTCCACCTGGAAATCATTTCCCTCTAAAACAACCTCTCATCGCCAAAGCCCTTACCCCTCTGCAGGTTGATCCTTACAAATTGAAGCCAGCAAGAAGCCAACAAGGCTAGCTATCTGGGCAAAGTACCATCATTCACAAAGCAGCAATCAGGAATCCCGACTAATGGACGTGCATGGGTCACATTCCTCCCGAACTGAGCTGACTTGGACCTGGCGTCAGATATCCGCTAGGCCCCCGGGCGTCTCAATGACGCAAGCTGCTTGTCCAGCCATGACGCAAAGATGTCGTCCCCGAAGCGGGGCTGGCCCGTGCTCACGAAGAGGATGCGGTGCCTCGAGGCTCGAAGGCTCGAAGGCTCGACTCGACCCGTGTCACCGTGTTTCTGGTTGACGTCAAATGTCGAAAGCCACTGGAGAAAGCTCTGGAGGTTTGGGTCAGCCCCCATAGTGGTCCATTTGACAGGTGGGGACGGCACGCATCCATAAAAAAGCATCCAAAGAACTTTAAAGGGACTGAAAAGGGGGTTGGTGCCCTTTGACTAGTTTGATTTGCTGATTCGAAACCATGGCCAGGGGAGCCATCATTGCATGCTAAGTGACTATGAGTGGCAAGCTTTGAGCCATTGAGGGCAACTAGGACTTCCCATTCTGCTTGCTATGGCTCTGAAACAGTTGGATTACACGCCCAGTTCTTGTCAAAACCGTGAACGTCCAACCTGCCGCTTTTTTGCCCATAGAAACCAAGCGTTCATTCCCCCGAAAAAGAAAAAGAAAAAAAGAAGCAGATCGTTCAAACCAAAACAACAACCCAAGCACTCTGGGCAAATCATCCAATTACAACTTCATGGTCGTGTGGCCGAGGCAACATGACTTCAGCATGTCAGGTGTGTCAAGTTTGTTTGGCCGAACAGTGTGAGCTACAGCCAAACTGTCAGCCGAGTCAATAGGACTGCATCATACCAGAGACTCCTTGTTGGGTAATCTTAACAGAGCAATCCAAATGAAACCACCCTAGCAGTTCTCCTTAAGCATCGTCCATTGGAGGAGACTCCCATTAAACTGGCCCAACAGGTGATGCTTAACGCCCGCCCCAGGGGAACTGCGGAGAACCCTTTTGGAGGGCTCCCAGTGCCCCAGGGGAACGCGGCACTCTCGCTGTCTCTCAGATTCTCTCGCCCGCTGTGCCGCTGTGCGCCAGACGGAGATGATGCAAAGTCAAAGCTCTGCAGGAGATAACCTCGTGACAGGGAAAACTGCCCGAGAGCTGATCTGATCTGATCGGCTGATCTGCGATGCCCTTTGACTCAAGGACCCACGAAAGGGATCGCTCAACGAGCGCGCGCACACACACGGCCACACACACACATACCACAGGCGCAATGCGCATTGACTCTTGTATCAATGAGCATGTGTCATATAATATACATGTCACGTGTTTCCCTAAAGAAAGGGGAGCTGGTTACATTCCGGTTGACTTTCCTTTAAACGTCAACCAAAAGGGCGTGCCTCAAAAGGACACAACCAGGAGGCAGGGATCCAAACATATCTGTGGATAGTGTCCAGCAAACCCTGCCAAGCGACACACACACACACACACTCGCGAGCGCTGACCAGGCAACGGAATTCAACTGCGAAATAGGACGGATGGTTTGAGGGCTTTTTTGTTGCGCGCTTCCTTCTTTAAGAGGTTTCTGTCGAGGTCCCTTTGCGGGACTTCGTGACACCCTGTTCACAGGTGCGCCTACTGCCAGGGTTCCCCCCTTGGCACTTTTTGCTGCTCTTTGTTACTTTTTTTTGGGGGTGGGTGGGGGGATATCAGAGGGCCACATGTGCAAATCCAAAAGGGGCTCTCCCAAACGGTCAAAAGGGCGATTAAAAAAAGAAAAAAACCTGGCGACACAATGATGGCGCCTAGTGCTCCCATGGCGATGGCCCCTCCGATACTGTGGCCGGCCTCAGATTGGGATTCACCCCAACTCGCCCCAATTCTCTCCAAGCGAGGCTCCAACAAATGGATGCACACATAACTGTGCATTGGAAGATGTGTTACGTTCAACTGTTGTTCTATGATCATGACTCATGACGCAATCTGGTTCCACAATACCACTGCTACCCCATTCGAGCTATGGGTCGAGAGGGGTCACAGAAATATCCCCTTAGAATTGCAATCAACGTGGTTTCCCCCACAAGTTCCATGTGTCTCCTACGATTGGCAGGAGAGAAACCAAATGGCACTCACACCACTTTGAGATCGATCTATGTACGGCCTGGACGACTGCCCTGCAGTTCGATTCAACTCCTAAGCATCGCTTGTGGAATTTCTGAACTCAATGGTCTTGTCATATCGCAATTTGGATTATGAGCACTCCCCAAATGGGTGGGACCCGCCAAATGTGTGCTTTCTCTCAGATTCCGTTAGACACAACCATCAAAATGCTGCCAACTCTAAAGGCACAGCTCACTCCTCACTCCCCACTCCTCCCTCACCAGACCATTTCAGCCATCTGATTTCAGCGAGGCCCCAGCAATAATCAGCCGCTTTGGGCGTGACGTGTCTCGCAGCCTCACGGAGGCTGGCGAGACGCGAGAAGTGGCTCTCCTTTCATGCCCAGTTTCTGTCTGGCCACAAGCAAGGCTCCTCAAAAACAAAGAGTTGGTCAGTCCAATTTTCCATCTTCAATTGAGAGACCGCTTAATCCTTTCTCAATCCAGGGAAGGATTCAGGAGCGCCTGTGAAAAGCAAATTATGGCCCACGTTCCTCTTGCCAGGCTCAAAAAAGCTTTGACAAAGCGTTTCTGAGACTGGGCTTCCTGTCAAGTAGATTCTTCCTCACACTACTTTGTTTTGCAAACAAATACCGGCTTAACCTGGGTGAATCATAGTAATACACCAACCAACAAACTCTGCTTTTATGAGGCCGCTATTCAACTTGCCAAGTTGCAATCTCCCTGCAGGTCTAGGCACCTCCTCTTTAAGGGGCATGAAGCAACTTCCCCTGGTCAATCGCTAACCCTCAACCTAGGATCTATAGCGGTTCTGCCATCAGCATTTGGGTAAGGGACAAACATGCAAAATATTACAGAGCCTTGACAGAGTTCCTAAAGAGATTGCGGTGCTTGATGGCACATTGGTCAAACCATTGCCCACACTTGTGCAAGGGCACGCACGCATGCACTGCGCGCACAGCACGCGCACTGCGTGCACAGCATGCACGCAGCGGCACTTTCACGTCAGGCTGCCTCTCACCTACCTCAACTTTTGCCCCAACCCAACATGTCATTGTTTGATCATAATCCATTTTTGGAGGACCTGAACATGCATGGGCTCAACCATATTTAAAGGCCCTGGCTGTGGCATAAGCTTCTGGTTGATGTCGCAAACAGATGCCTCAAGCTCTGCGGAGACTGCACGTGGGGGGGTCGTTACAAAGAGGAACGCACCAAGAACAAGGAACTTCCATATTATGCCAGGTAGATCCACTGAACCGGCTTCATGGGCCAGTTCGCCTGCATCTCACAGGGCTCTGGGCCCAGGTCAATCACAGCTGAGGTCTGCTGGATCCCCCCAAATGTACAGCTTCCGGGGATTGTCCCAGCAGCCTTTACCATCCCACAATGATAATGATGCTGGTTGTTATTATTGTTAGAATGGCGACGATGATGAGTGAAGTGTGTAACAAGTGCATTTCACCGCACCTGCTGTTGCTTGCATGATGAAGGACATATCGTCAGCGGTCAACAACATGAGCTGCAACAACTTCAACAACCATGATCAACGCATGCTGCAGTTCAGGCGCAAACCCAAAAACCAAAGCTGAGTGCGCTGCCAAAAAGGCATCATAAAAACCTTGATGTGCTTGAGGTTGAGACTGCCGGCCTGATGCCAACGTGTTGCACTGGCTCCGGCAGTCAAACCCTCCCGCCTGCCAGGCAACTGCTGGAGCTTTTCTCCTGGTCCAGGTTTGGCTGGAACGGAATGGGACTTGCGGCGAGGTCCTGCCAAGCATTTCTGTGCAGGGCCGTAAATCGCGCATCACAAGTCACACTCTTCGGTCCGTAAGCCATTCTACAATACCAGTGGTGCCTCGGTAGGAGATGACCACATCCTGGATGGCACACAAATCTGAGAGTCAACAGCCCCACATGCCAAAGGCCTGATCATTGTGCGCGATGAATCCATGTGTATCTACCTGAGCCAGTGGGCAAATATAGACATGTTCTGCAAGCCCAACAGGGCGAACGGGTTGGTCTCATAGGTGATTTCTGCGGTCCCCTGTAAACTCAACCCCAAAGCGGTAGCCTTAAAAACACAAGCACACAGCACATGTTGCATGGCCATGACCAATGATTGGAAGGACAAACACAGTAGTCACCCAGTCTATTTACAGATTCGTAACGATTGGAGATAAACATGAGAAACGACAACAATAAGGATTTTCATAAGGGGCTCTCATGTCCTTGGAACATTGATCTAAAGAAGCAACACCTAACTTCTTTTTGGCACGCTATACAGGTGTGCTCATCTACGTATAGAACAAGCAAACAAATTGAAACAAACGATCAACTATCCAAGGGGACCCCAACAAGTGATTGTGACAATAATTGTGCGATGACAATAGCGGACCATGACCACCAAACCTACAGAAGGACACTGCCTGAAATGGTCCTCTTTTCGCGACGCGGGAAAAACGGCTTTCACATGGCTAAGTGTGAAAACGAGATCGATTGGCTCGATGTTTGACAATCTGCCATGCACAGACGTGTCGCTTTTCAGAGTGTGCGAAATGCTGGGCCCGGTTGTGAGCGGGTCGCGTAGCTGGCAGGCCCACCCAAAAACAATACCCTGATAGTCTTATGGTATTGTCCATTGTTCAGATGACAGTCCAACGTTCCCCCGACAGGTGTATGACATCAGCTCACGAGAACGAGCAGGGCAGCTGTCCCGTCATCAGCTCATAACAAGTATCAGCAGTCCGCCTGCAAATGAAGAACAAGTACCGGACAAGCCATCACTTTTCGGAGAATCACAGTTTGGACAACCCCTTTGAAGCGAGGAATTGGGCCGCTGTTTGTTCCTCCAACCTGGGCCGCTGGCAGTCCGGAGGCTTCCCAACATCGCGGTGTGCGAGAAAATTCGGTCCACCGTAAAGCCGAGAGCCTCCGTCCGCAAAGTGGCTGGGCCAAGAAACATGTTGACCCTCGGGAGTGAGCTACCAGTTGATCTACCTGGCAGATTCATAGGTCAGGTGTTCTGCACCCAAACAAGTCCAGGAGTTCTCTTTCATGGCGGACTCGACTCCTCTTAGTCATGAATGAAGAGGGCTTGAAAAGGATGCCGCTAAACACCAATGTGCCTGGAACAGCGTGCCGTACCCGGTCTGCCGTTTTTCCGGAAGCCAAAGTCATTTTACAACGGTGGATTTCTCGTTTTGCACATACACCATCATCGCAGTAAGTTTTAGTATTTGGGTTTGTCTCAAAATAGGGGAACCCAAAACATTGTTGGTTTGCCGTTGGGTTTCCCTTTAACACAATCCAAAAAGGTTACCCTCACAAAAAGACGTGCCGGTCTCCCTTGTTCACCCATCTCCTTGCCTGGAGGATCTCTGTCAGGGGCCGGCGCGCGCGCTCTGGCCTCAGGCCCGAGTGCATTTCGTGATGTGGGAAACAACAGCAAGGGAACCCACAAGGAACACCAGCCATTTGTGGGCTCCTTTTTTGGTCCACAAACTTGGCCGCAGCCCTCTTCCAGCCTCTTTTTTTTTTCTGGGGGGGGTCCTGTCAAAAGACCAAAGTAATATGTGAGAAATTCCCCTGTAGGGAATCCTGTCCTATGGTACCAACCTGTAACTAGCTTCTCACTAAGCGGATTGCCTTACCACAGGAAGCGGCTCTGAAAACCTTTGTTCCACAAGCGTGTATGTCTTTGCTTCGGAATCTGCCATTGATTGCCAAGGCGAGGTCCTTGCAGTCTTTCATCTAACAGCCTTTTATCACATTTGGCAAGCAGTCATCATGTTGTCCTTAACGAGGAGTCTTCGCCCCTTAACGCCCCTTGGCAGTGGTCGTTGCTTACATTGTCAAGTGTGATCACCATTGATCACCGGCAACGCTGTATTGAAGTAGCTGAAACAAGACATCATGCAAACACATGTTTTACAGTGAGCACGTGAGCCATGTTAATGAGCTCGATTGTCTCCCCTGGTGCTTACTGGCCGATTGTCAGACGGCGCAAAACCAGCAAACATGTTGGGGTAGCGTGTTCTTTTGTTACCCCAAAAGAACTTAAACCATGGGGTGATTGATGTATTTCCCTAAGCAAAAAGCCGCAGTAACTAAATGGAACCCTGTCCAGAAGAGTCAGCCTGTGGTTTGTTTCCCCGCGGTTGCCTTCTATCTTGGTTACCCAATCGAAGCTTTTCTGAAAGGGGCAGAACCCATGCATCCCCTGCATTAACTCCTTTCTTGCCAAGCAACTCATGGGGAAATAAGCGAACTGGGGTGTGCCCTTTTCTTGATTTTAGTTCATAAGAATTAGGATCAATAAAGGAAAACCCATTCGGGTGATCTAGTCAAAGGAACCCCACCAAAAGCCTTCCCAAACGAGGCCCACAACCCAATGGCACAACTGGGCCAAACCGAGTCACAATCGCACCCTGCTATCAAAATGGTCCGAAAACCAGTCAAGAACCAAAAGGCCGGCTGCACCTGTTGGGACTCCCCCCCCTAGATTGCCGGGTTTCAGCTCAACACACCGGGCACCGCGCCCTCCGGCTAGGGTCTCGATGGCCTTCCGCGTTCCACCCAGGTTGTCGAGAGTTCCCCGCCTAAGTCACAGCCGCATGCTGATGGCCGAGTCCATTGCATACGACGCTCCGTTAAGGCGATGCCAAAAAAGGGCCTATGACAACAGGGCTCCATTTCATGTCCTCAGGGGGCTGGGTTTAAGTCCTCGGGGAAGAAAAAGAAGAAGCTTGAACAAGGGGCCCCAAGATGTTCGCCTCTAGCGCATACGCAGGCAGCCCAGAGATTGAAGGGCCCCTGTTTTGACCGCCCCGAAGTTTGGCTTTGAGCAATGCGACAGGCACCGCATGATTGAAGGAACAAGTTCGGTCGGGGTAGGGGGACCGTCCGAAGGTCCGCTTCTTTTCTGCAGAAACTCCAAGCAAGCCATGAACATGACGCATTGTCGACACAAGGAACAGCTCATCTCGACATCTTGGTCTCTCTTGTCAGAAGCCCGTCAAGAAACCCGTCGATGTGTTTTCCGTTGCAGAAAGAGCCCCGGACTGATCATCGGTGTACGCAAGGCATGCCAGCTTCACACCTGGCGTGAATCTTTGGCCGCACCTAAACCCTGGGCTAGGATGCTACACACATGATTGTCCTTTGGCAAAAACAATTGGAACCCGTCTGTTAGAACCCGTTTAGGGGTCTTCAAAGTTTAGATGCGAGGGGCGCCCAGGTCTCCCAATTTCACTGCAATCCAATTCAAGAATCCCAACGCGTCAGGGTGAATGGGCCCTCCGCATCGATCCGAGCGACCAAATGCTTTCATGACAGCATAGATGTCTTGACCCATGGTTCGACATTGCTTCCACCCGCGGGTCCATCGCAGATGGTTCCCCAGCGCGCCTAGCATTAGATCCTCAATTCTGATGCCACCCTGCTGAGAGGCCTCAAAAGGGTGCGGAGCGAGTGAAAGGACATAGACCTTGCCATAACAAAAACGGACTTCTCTGCCCCAGTATTCTTATCAACCTTGACAAAGGGGTGTGTGTCCATCCACCCTCAGCTGACAGCCATTGATCTTCACAAGCACCGGAAGAGGCGAGGATGGGCAAGGCATATTAGTTGATAAGCAACGTTCGGGGGAATCCTGAGTTGCACCCCCCAACTTTGTTTGGGACACATGAATCAAAGGCTGCAAAAGGCATCGTGTCAACAGCACAAGCTTGGGATGTCGGGAAAAGAAAGGCCCGCCCATCCCTAGTCCATGTTCTTCACGGAACCAACATCTTGGTCTTACCAGTAGTTGAGTGCCCCTCAAAGTGTTCAATTTGAGGGATCCAGGCAGTGCCAACTTATCTGAACATCTCACTGAGAACGGAACCCGTACAGCATTGTAGTGCCTGCCACGTGCCCTCAGCACGCATTGGGTTCGACTCCGAATGGGGAACTTCAAAGCCACAGGGTGGGCTCCCTGTCAACTCGGTTACCTTTCACTTCGCTTTCAACAACACCACCGGGAGCGGGGGGGGGGGGCCTCTCAAAGTGCAGCAGGCCAAAGGGTGATGGCACTGAGGCGTCGAGCCGCCATGCAGTCCACATGATGCCCAACGGCACTCTGCGAGGACATTTGGCGGCTACGAGCTTTCACACGAAGCCAAGCGGTGTGTCATCACGCATCCACAAATAAAGTGTCCATCACCCGAGGTGGGGCACTTGTTTCTCCAGCCCGCAGGGGGCTGTCCAAGGCGTCGAAGAGTTGTTCTGCAAACTCTTGCGCGCATGGTATGAATGCGGATGCGCGAAATGCTAGTCCCAGCTTCAGTTTGAGGCTGGTTGCATTGTGGGGCGCCAATCAACTGCGAGCCATGCCAAACCACGCGGACACAAATGGCGCGTCTACTTTGGTTCTTCAACATGAAGAAATGAAAGCGCACGCGCCGCGTGCTGAGCACACGGCACATGCCCCTGTTCAGGAGAGAGTAGACAACATGCATGATGCAAGCGATGAAAACTCACAGTCCGAGTAAGATGCCGACCCACTGCGGGCGCCTTGCAGGCACTGTACAGCTCAAACACGGTACCGTTTGACAGCTCCATTTCCGCTCCCAAAAAGTCTTTGTTTTAGCTGCCCAAATGGCGCCCTGCCTGGCGAATCCTTCAACTGACCCTTTGGAACTAGCCGTCTTCTTGATGAGAGGCTCGTCTGGCATGCCTAGCAGCGCGTGTCGCGTGTGGAAGAAGGTTGGCTGAAAAGAAAGTCACCCGCCTCAAGAAAGAAGGAGCTGGTGTCGCTCCATTCCGTATTCTCTTCAGAGATCATGGCCCGATTCTGATTCTTGTGATTCAAGTACCTGCGTCGAGCAAGGCGGTCATCAAACCAGCTTACGCCAGGGATGGACCATTTCGGAGGAAACCAACCACCCCTCAAGTCCGAGGCGATATCCAACAGCAAACCACCTACTGCACGCTGCCCACTGGCCTGGAAGTCGGATCCATCTCCTCAGTCTCTCGATCTCTCGGACATGGACAGGGCTTCGGCTCCAAAATGGTAGCTCCCACATGGCACAGGGCCTCTCATTGGGGGAGGGGCATGGGGGAATTCAGGAAACTGAGAAAGCCCGGGTTGAGTCGCAACATGTTGGGCGACACCCATCCAAAACGTAGGGGAACCGAGGGGTGTGAACAAGCGAGAAGTTGTGCCCTTCCACTCTTAACAGACCGTGCCGCTCCTCATTCTCCGAGAGGGCTATGGCTTTCATCCGCCCTTCCTGGCGCTCACAAGTGGAACCCTTCGAAAGCCGGCTGGTCAGAAGAAGTGGTGGCCCTCTCAACTTTCTGTGAAGAAGCTCAGGTGATATCCCCAACAGCATGTGGTGCTGTTTTTAATGCTCGCACCACCCCGCAGCCCTCGTGGAACCCTTGTGGAACCCTGGTGGAACCTTACCTCAGGGTGTAATCTTCGTGGAAACTTCGAAAGGCAGGCCCAAGGCTCAACATGCTGCAGGACAAGCTTTACAAGCTCCAACGCTTTTCTTAGATCTCAAGGTCAGAGATTCACCTCGGGGGGTTGTGTTCATTTTGGGGTATCGCTTTCGTATCGCTTCGGGAGTCGCTCCAGGTTGCACGCCCGAAAGCAAGTCGTCAAAATATGGCAAACTGCCAAACTTACTGCCCTCAAGGCAGTTACGAAAATTGGAGGGTGTCGTTTGTGAGCCGGAACATTCCTTGAACCTTACACTTGGCCTGGCCTGACCACCCCGCCTTACACCTGGCCTGCGCCACCTCCTTGAACCTCCCCAGCTCCGGAACCTTCCTCCCCGAACCCCGGAACCTTATTTGAACCTTACACCTGGCCTGCGCCACCCAGGAACCTCCGCAACCTGACCACCCCGAATCTCCGAAACCTTCATTGCCAGACCACCCCGGAACCTCCGCAACCTTCCTTGAACATTACACCTGGGCTGCACCAGACTTGCTTGAACCTTACACCCCGGAACCTCCGGAATTCCTTGAACCTTCCACCTGGCCTGCATTAGACCTCGGAACCTCCGCAACCTTCCTTGAACCTTGCACCTGGCCTGCACCAGACCACCCGGAACCTCCACAACCTTCCTTGAACCTTACACCTGGCCTAACCTTACACCTGGCCTGCACCAGACATCCCCGGAACCTCCGGAACCTTGCTCGAACCTGACTCCAGAGCTCCCCCAAGCCACCCCCAAACCTTATCTGGGCTGAGACCCCTTAGATTCAGCTGTTGGGGAAAACAGAAGTGTGGCTCTGCAAGGTTGATTCGTCCAAGTTCCCAAGCTGAAGTTATCCTAAGCTATCTGTGGGGATAAACCACAAGTGATAGGGGCGCATTCTGGGATCCGCTGGGAAAGTTGGCAAGGACGCAAAACCGAACACACAGAATACCATGGTTTCAAAAAACAAAAACTAAAATAATTTCGGGCTTGAGGGCTGTCCTTGTTTGGGCAGCTTAGGCTTTGATGTGCTTCTCCATTTCGAGCGCCGTTTTAGGCTTCAGCGGCAATTTCGTCAGGGCGAAGTGGGCAAACACGAAATTGGTGGTGAAGACTCAAACGATAGAGCAAACTAGCAATGTGTTTTTGTTGGTGCTTGGGGATTTGGGGATTGCGAGGATTGTGAGGTTTCAAGCGTTTGGTTTGGGTCTTAGGGTTTAAAGGTTATAGAGGTGCAGGTCTCTGGGTTTAGGGTTGTGCTTTGGAGGTGGTTCTCTGTTTCAAGCACCATTTTAAACATCAGCCGATGTCAGCTGATAGCTGGGCATCAAGGCAGTTTCATCATTAGGGCGCCAGTTTGAGTTCCATTCATGGCAAAGTACCCCCAATTTCAGGATGGCAAAGCACGGCCAGCAGTATGTTAGATGTCAGTTGTTGTCACTGAATGCTCGCCTGATTGCCCTGATTCCTGCAGACCTGCGTGAAAAAAGCAAAGGACACCACAAGAAAACCACGAGACACGCAAACGGACTCCCAAGCCCAAAGGAGAGCGAAGGCACACCAAAGGAACGCCGAGCTCCGATGACGATGATGAGGATGATGATGATGATGACGATGATGAGGATGATGAGGATGATGAGGATGATGATGATGATGATGATGAGGATGATGATGATGATGACGATGATGATGATGATGACGATGATGACGATGATGAGGATGATGATGATGATGATGATGATGATGATGATGACGATGATGATGATGATGATGATGACGAAACAGAAGCCAAAAGAACACCTGGGAGTAAAAGAAGGTCGACCAAAGGAAGGTCTGAGGCCACTCAAGGATACTGAGGTATCCCCGAGGCTGCAATAGTTATATCATACCGGACTCTAGTGCCTCAGTTAACATGAGGATACGTCACGCAAAGCCTAAGGGAAACCAAGCATAAACCCTAAGCTGGGAAACCCAAGGGACACCAAGAAGGGAACCCCAAGGCTGCAATCGACGCAACGTCACTGATGACATCCCGCGGATCAATCGATATCAGGATCGTGACCACAAAGGAAAACCCACGAGAAGCAGAAGAAACGACAAAGCAAAAGCACGAGAACTCCCAGATCTTTACTCCAAGTCAAAATCAAAGCAGAAAAACATCAGACCAAAAGGAAGACCAACGAGAATCCCAAGAGAATCCCACAGCAACTTCCCACCTTCAAGTGGGCCGGCACTCTGCGGCCCAGGAGTACTCGGGGCTCCTCGATCTCCTGGAATTTGCTTTGGTAATCCGGGAAGGGCTTCCCAGGGGTCGATATGGCCATGGGTCAAAATCCAGATCGTACCCCCAGTGAACATCCCAATCCCCACTAACATAGACTAAAATGAGTGGTGCACCTACCCCAAAATGCTACCATTGGTTTTGACCCACAGCCATATCCCGGAACCCAAGTGACCCCAAGGCGTCTGGTGACGATGGCACATAGGTGGCGAAGAACTTTGCCAGAGAATCCATCGGGGTTGGGTGGCAATCTTGTCTGCTTTTGGGCAGATCTGTCTCCAACTTAAAACCACATGTTTGGATGGTCGGTGTTTGGTGAACATTGACACATCAAGTATGGGCTTGTCTCAAAACATGGGAACCTCAAAAAATGGGTGGGGTCCTGTTCGTGTGCCTTTGACACCATCACAAAAGGATACCATCAACAACACGCACATTAGAAAACAAATGTGTCCACAACGGCTGCACCCCATCCACGTGAATTCCAGACTTTTCATAGTGTCACAGTTGCCTCCCTTTTCAAATGAGCCAAAACCTCTCTGTGCCAAACTGGAAAATATCTGAATCCATTTTAAAGGATTGCATTCGCTTTTGAGGGCTTCTGGTCATGCGTGCATAATATGACATAACACTGCTCAAACAGTTTTTCCCGAAAGCGTTTGTGCCATTGGCAGCAGCTCCCAAGGGTTAAAACCTCCGTTGGGGGGACGGCCATAGTACGTTTCCCAAAGGCAGGATTCCCGACGGTCACTTTGTCTTCTAGGGTATTAGCTTAGTTTCACCTTTGGTGGACGACTCAAGCTCCCTTTAAAGGTCTTACTAGTGGTGTGCTTCTCAGATCAGTGTTCAGTAATAGTAAATAAAGGACATAATCCAAACTGGGATGGGAGCCTTGCACGGGCGCATTTTCAATCAAAGGTATGGATTCAAGTCGACCCTCAGAGCCTCCAAAGACTAGTCCTTGCTCAACATGCCTTTTCGTCTCCAGGCCCGTTGAATATCTGGAATCATGCCAATCTCAGACTAGTTGGGTAATCCTAGTCGTTCCAAATCACCTCTCAAATCACCCCAACAATCAACAGCTTCCTCTGACCCGACCCCCTATTCCGAAATTCAGCTACTTTCCAGTCCGCCTCTTGTCAACATCCTATCCTTACATCCTCGTTCTACAACCGCCCACTTCGCACCAGTGTTCACTTCATGTCCACTTTCCAACTATCTGGGCAACCAATAACTTTGCGAATTGCACGGCGCAGGAATGATGCCTCCCCTTCCTAGCCGTACCGGCCCGGGTCTTCTTCCTAACTCGCCAAGGTTTTCCACTCGCTCGCTTCGGGTTCGACAACTCCGTGATTTTTCTTTGCTTTCGGAAGCAAACGCTTTTGGAATCGGACTTTTCAAGCTGGAGCTCTGGGTCGGCCACTTGCGCCCTTTCAGACTCCACCCGACCCCCTTTCCCGGCATGCAGAAACCACAGCGTGAAGGAAGCGCTTTGCAAAAATACCGAAATGCAAGTAGCACTGCAAAAAAGGCCTGTTTCACTTGACACATATTGAACTTTCAATCCAAGGCGACATGGGCACGACAGGCGTTGCCTCTTGCCCTCCTGGGAAATGAAGGCCTTTTCAAAACGATACACTCTGAATGACCCACCCCCCCCCCCCCCCCCCACGCCTTTGAGGGCCGATGGGCCTGCTTGCTGCCATTGCAGCCCATTGTGCAATGAACAAATAATGTAACCTATGTCTCCCGATGGGGCTGTCAAGAACTTTGGGTTGGGCTGATGTGCTGCATGCTGTCGTTGCAAACTCATGGCCAGTGGTTCCCCTTGCTTTGGTCCGACTCAGACGGATATGGTGGGTCAATGCTGAGCCGTGCAGCGAGGATCGGATGTACGTGGCGCGAAGGCGGCGCGGTACAACATAAGCAAGCTGCTTCTTTTACGAGTGTGTCCCTTCCATAACCGCGCCTTTCAAGGACGGCCGAGGGCCGGTAGAAGCATTCCTTGATCATGGTGCTGTGGCGCATATCCTGAGCAACAGTCAAGAGGACATGTATGAAGCAACAGTAGACCCAACAAGTTCCAGGGTTGTCTGTTTTGGAAGGTATCTGCCTTTGGGTTGGTTTCCTCGCATAGAAAGAATAACAAAGCAAAACCACAAAAACAGCACTAGTCCTTAAATTGAGCTTGCTGTCAAAATTCTGATCCCAGCCTTCAGCAGCCGCTCGCACTTCGCCTTGTCCACCTCACTCATGATCTCTTTGGGCCTTGGCCCGCGGACGGGATCACCCTTCCGACCAGTGCAAGGAACCACATACTTCCGAAACTTGGAACCCCCTTTCACCCATGCAGTTGAAGGGAATCATATATGTGGGCCGCATTTCTGCGGGGATTCATGTCCGCCCACTGTTTTGCACGGTTTCTTATTGAAATACAGCTGGGCCATACGGGTCCCTAGTTTGAACATCGGGAGCCCCTTGGCTTACCTTTCAAAGGACAACCAAAGGGAGACCAACAGATTTTATATTTCTCTTTCACACGCGGAATTGAGACCTCCCATCTGATCTGATTATACCAAGGCACGCGGCTTCTCCAGAGCTCGTCTTCGCTTTCTTGTTTTTCGCCGGTGTCTGTTGGGTCCGCTTCGCTCGCGTTGAAGCCTTGGCCTTGGGGCCGGGCGACTTGGAGGTACCGGCCTTGGCCTTTGGTCTACCACGCGGCTTGGGCGCGCCCGGCGTTCGCTGGGGCTCTGAGGGCAAGATCGAGTCCCAAACGACCTCCTTCTGCACCTCCTTTTGCACATCTTCCGAATTCGGCGTTCCCAATGCGTCTTGACTATCCTCAGGCCCTTCTGGTTCCTCTGGCTCCTCTGGCTCCTCTCGCTCCTCTGCCTCTTCTGGCTCCTCTGGCTCCTCAGTCTCCTGCCGGATCCCAGCTGAGTCCTAGACCCCTTCCATGAGCACTAACCATTAAATCAATGCACCTAGAGGCTTCTGCTTTGGCTCGGGAAGCTGGTTCACAGGAGTGACGTAGTGAAATTTGTGCCTATGGCAGAATGGCCACTCGATGCGACTAGCATAGCGTGATATGGGTCCATATACTGTTTGCCTTATACCCACAAAGGGCAAAGGTACACATTGCTTCGAGGGGGATCTTTGGAAGCAAGCCCATGAATCCTCCTCAGAGGCCACGTGGCTGGGATCTCCAGCCCACTCACCTCAGAAGGGAGGCGGTTGGAAATTCCACGAAATGTTCAGGAGCATCATCTGAAAAGCAAGAGCCATTCCATACTTGGGTTCTGTCAAGACGCACTCCCTGCCTCGCGAGCGGTTAAGCGCATGGGAAACGAGTTTACTCATGGGCACAAGGATTCTGGGTTCTATGAATCATCATCCAACCCAGGCTGGTTGCGACGTTATGAAGTCCAAGTCAGGAAACGTGCCTGCTCTAAGCACTTTTAGTTCCTCAAACTCGGCATGTGTGTGTATGTGGTCTCGCGTGTGTAGTTCACATGCGTAGCATACAAGCCATGGGTGTGTCTTGTGTAGACTTGGTGCTCTTTTGCGGGCAGTTAAAAGCGGGTGGGGGGCAAAAGGAAACCCGCCCCCGGGCATTCAGTTCCTCCCGAATGGCAAAAGCGGAACCCCCGCTAAGCTGTCGGCAACCAGGCGCAGCATTGCTCATGCTCAGCTCCTGGCGAGCAACACCTTTGCCGTGCCTTTTGTGGTGTCCGGCAATGGAGTGGCAACCCGGCCATGTTTGGCATTTGAAGCGATCTCCAAATAGGAAAAAATAGGAAAGCCCCAGGCTAATCAATGGACCAAAGAGCAATGGCATGCTGAGATCCAAGCTTTCGGTCCTCATCTTTTTCCTCGAACTCCAACTCTTGGGACTCCTTACAAATGGTCGGCTTAGACTTCCAGCACACGTGCCTCAGCGAGCGCTCATGGACTGGACTCATGGACAGACCTACACGTAGACTTTGATTCTGGGCTGTGTGCGCAGGACTAGACAAGGCGACGCTTTGTGCCCCGGTGGAGCCGGTGATTTCTTGGCTGTGCAGGCAATTGAAAAGGCCTCTCGGTCGACTTCCATTTGAGGCATTGGCCAGAGAGACTTCCTCAGCTGGCGCAGCTCCGTGGCGTTGAGGGCCACGGTCGCCATGGTGGACCAGTTGGGTGTGTGGGCGGAATGCGCGAGCCGCAAGAGGTGCATTTGAACTCCGAGGAACATCGTAAAGCTGAGGAGCAATTCGGCGGGTCGCGCCCTGATTTGGAAACACAACAGTACCCTCAGTAGGGCTGTCTCACAGCCAAAAGAACAAGGGCGAAGTGACAAACAGCCACACTGTTGACATTTGGAATTTGGAATGGCCAGTGCATGCAAACAACTCGGCATGGGAGCTGCTGTGTCTGTGCGCCATGCAGCTGCTGTCATTTGCCAAGCATGGTCAACCTGGACCATAGCTAATCTTTAAACGCAGTGAGGCAAGCAAGCAATGATCCAATACTCCTCTCTCTCAAACAACAAACAGCATGCATCTCCAACAGCCCAGCATGGGATGCACTTCCAATGTAGCATGCGTTCAAGATTTGAGAGCTCTTCCACCTCAAACCCTTTGCGGTGGCGATGGATTCAGTTCAAAAGGATTCCGCTGACTAGCCCTCCAAAACTGAAGCGGACATGTTCTTTTGATCTTCTCACGGCCCCTTCTGATCATTTCACACGGCCTTCGGCGGCACTCAATTCTTCGCATGCAGCATGGGCTCTGGGTACAAGGCCTGCGACCGCAAGAGACAGCCACCAGCGTTGGCATCCAAGAAACAAAATCTGAAAAATGTGACATGCAGCCAAACAGGCAAACACGAGAGGATGCCCTGCAAGGGAATCATCATTCAACCACAAGGACACGGAAAACAAAGGAGACCAAACCAAGTTTCTACCGCTCTGTGTTTGGTGGATGCTTTGATTTCGCTCAGAGCCCCTGCAATCATATGTCATACTTGAAGACTCCTTATGTAGGCCATGGCCATGGTTCCCTTACTATGAACCTTCATTAGTAGTCCAAAATCCACCAATTAATCCACCAATTCGGAGGTCGGTGCCCAACCCCTACCAACCCAAAGGAAAGGACAGTGTGTTCGAACAGCCTCTGATCCCCTCGCCTGCGGCTTCTCGAAGACTTTCTTGCCCATGTTCTTTGGCTTGTCTGACGGCCTGCACGTCGCAATGATTTTCGACGAGAATGAGACCCGGAGAGAAACTGAAAGCGAAGTGCAGAGTTTGAGTTGCTGGTTCCCTGCCTCGAACCCCAAGTTTGTACAACCTCACTGCTACATTGAAGATTGTTGAATGCAAGCAAGTCCCAACCGGCGCTTTGCAAAAGCTGGGCCTTGAGACTTGGACTTTATCCTTACCCATACGGCAACGCTAATGGCAATTGGGCAGGTGTTGCTTGGTGTTGGCCTCCTTGTCCCATGCCTACGCAGCCTACGCCAAAAGCAACCGATTCCGCAACAATGCCTACGACTAGACGTCTGCCTACGCGAGTACGCGACTCAACGCATTTAGGGCTGCTCAAAATTGCAACTTGTCAGTACAAGCTTAGTGCAAGTGATGCGAGAGGAGACATTTTGACAGCTCCAGCTCGAGCATCACAACTTGTCAATACAAGTAGCGTCTCAGAGGTAAACATTGGCAGCTGCAGCTCGATAATCGCAAGTACACGCGAGCTGTCCTAAGTACACTGTACACTTGGGCACTCCATCTCAGCCCGGAACCCCCCCTCGGTTGGCTCTCAGACGTCATGCCACGCTAAGCCTACGCGAAATCTGCCCGACTTGGTTGAACTTCGGACACGCAGGGCCTCGCAAGCCGGCAGACCATCCCCGCAACAGTGATTCACAGCGTTCGCCCCTTCGTATAAGCACACGCCATGTGACATGTCAAACTATCACATCGTCGCCTACGCGACTGCCTAGACGAGCCTCTCCGCAAGATGCCTACGCACGCGTTGTGGCCCTGTCAGTCAATTGCCTGCGCGACATGTCAAACATGTCGCCACGAAGATGTGCGCCTTCCTGCCTAAACAACGCTGCCCAATTGGCGTTTCCTTCCAGTCAGTCCTTCACCCCCACCCATCCTGCACCTGCACTTTCACTGTGCGGCCATGCAAGAACGAACCCATCCTTGGCTAAAAGGCCCCCACATCCGAAACATTGAGGTTCCCAACAAGACGGCGGAATCCACCGGCCTGGCGAGTGAACGGGTCCCGGGTCCCGCTCTCCGCATCCCGGGCCTGAGGAAGTCGCCCTTCTGGACGATGGCCATGGTCCGGAAGCCCTGGGCTTCTTCCTTCAGCGGCACGGAGAAGCGACGATAGGCCTCACAGGAGATCATTTTCATGCACAAAGCGTTGTTGCCGAGCTGATGGCTTCTTTAGCTGGAGCTGCACAATGCCAACTTGTGTGAGACGATAGATTATCTTCATATAGAAACAGCCCAAACCACGTGATCTGCTGATTCCATCATGCTGCGGAGGGTTTGCATAGCCCCAAGCAGTGCAAGCTCAGTCTTTTGAGGGATTCATGGAGCCCCCATGTTGCAAGCAAGATCGCCTTGATACATCTGGCCATCTGATCTTCCCGGAGATCCTTCTGTTTCGTCACGATCTTCGGGCATAGGACCTATGCCAGAGCCGTTGCCATTTCTGCGACAGGGGCGTGCTTCTTCTGAGGGTACTGTTTTTTTCCATGAAAGGGAAGACCAAAGGAAAAAAACAACCACCAATTCCTCCCTATTTTGACGCATGCCCACACTCTGCGACTACGCTGACACCTTTGAAGGGGACTCCCTTGGTATCGCAGGTGGCCCGAAACCTAACTTTCAAGAACTATCCAAGCAAAAGGAAATCATGAAAATCGATTTTTAGCCAGTGTGATGAAGGCTGTGTCTAGTGGAACCGAATCAGTTTCAAAGCCAAACTCGCCCCTACGCCGCTTCGGAGTGTGGGGACTTGAGATTGGTGCAACAAAGGCCACAAAGGCGAAGGTTGTAGGTGCCTGACCAAGCTTACTAGGTCCATTAAAGTGACATCTGCAAAATTACCCATGTCAGTTTAGAGGGAAACCTCCAGGACGCAATAGTAATTTGGAGAACCCCTCAACATGCAACCGCTTGCAACCGCTGTAGGCGCCCCAGGCATACGTTGGCCAACAAGCACTAAATGTGCCGATGGGGCGGACCTTGAAAAGCCGGTCGTTCTTGATCCCGATCTGGTGGTGTGTGTAGATGACTTCGGCTAGCAGCCTCGGACCATGGGGCAAGCACCAGGGAACATTCTTGCCCCAACCGCCGCCGAAAAATTGAAAGGAACCAGGGTCTGAGTACCCAATAAGAGCTGCTATTTGGCCCCTTCATCTGATGGAGACTCTCAGGACCCAATCGAGTCTGAGGATTGCCATGGATATGTTCCCTTCGTTTCTGTTTGCCTAGAATGGCCTAGATAGTGGACCCGTTCCCCAGAAAAGAAGACCAGCGACCCACAGCTTGAAACATGAGCAAACATCCCATCTCGCAATCTCTGAGGTTGCAAGCCACACAGGAATCTGGTCAACCTCGTCGCAAATGCGCCTGGCACCAGGAAACTCCATCTGGCTAGCTGGCACACATCTTGTAGCCTCAAGACATTGGGTCATTGAATGCCATCTTCTGCCTCCCGACTCAAGGGGTGGCACTGGCCCGTTTATCTTACCATTCTCAAAATCACCCTATGTGATAGGTTGAAGGGAACCATACCTACTTTCTGACTTCAGAAACCGCCCAGAAACCGGCAAAGTAGCTACCCTATTGTTCATGGCTTCAGGCCTGTCAGCGAGCTGGAACAAATAGCGGTCATTGTCCTGGCAAGAAGAAAACAACTCAGCCTTTGTGGGTTCTTGAGCATAGCAGCAGTTGGTGGGAAACCTGCTGCTTGTCTAAAACAATGAACAGGCCCAAGCTTGCGGGCCCACTTGGCCGACAACCGCTGCTTAAACTGCCAGACACAGCTCTGATGGCCCAGGTTGTCATATCCTGTTTGGGTCAACCCCTTGTTTGATTCAAGTGAAGTTCTGCTTGGTCCACTGTCGACCAGCTCCCAATTATTTAAACTAAGCTTGCAACCAGCCTCTTTTGAACGGGCCGAACGGCCCCTCCCTCCGGACATTTTGGTCCTTGCCCTTAATTAAGGGTTGTCCCCTTCAGTGGCGAAGAACTTGTAAGCTGCCAACGCCCTCTCTCCCTTGTTCACTGGGTCGAATGAGCAGCTCCTCCGTACGGACGGTCTGCATATCTGTGTCGCGCTTGTCCAGCCGAGCCCGCGCCACGGTCTCAGCGAGCGCAATCCGCGCGACATGGTCCACATGGATCCAAAGGAAAGGTGTGGCGGCCCATTGCCCTTTGCCACGGGGCATTCCACAGAGTAACAGGGGCCAAGAAGGGTCTTTTCCACAGAAACGCATATCTTTCAACAACATAGCTAAAACATATCTTTGTCGGGTCCATTCATTTATCAGCAGGTTGAGAACCCGTGTTTTGTCAACGAACCCTCTTGAAACCCAGGAAACCAAATACAAATGATGGTATATGACAGGGGAATCATCACGGATTTGTCAAAATTCCAGTAATGATAGGTACCTTCCCTGAATGTGTCAGCGAACCACCCACCGCATGGGTTCCTTGTAGTCAGTGTTCAAACTAAGGTTGGCTTTCATAACCCCGTTCTCTTCCCCTTAGAGGAGAGGCTTTTCCGACGAGAGGCTTTTCCGGAAGATGTTCGAGAATAATCGTGCAAGCTTTCCTGGTAAATGGAATCCTGGTCTCCTTTGGAAACCAAACCATTGCTTTTGCCCGACCTTGGAATTTCAGACATCGAATGTAGTTTGGTATGTGTTGAATTAAACAGGGCTGGGAAATAAATCATACAGCGAAGCCCTTCCTCCTCCAACATAGACGCCGACCAAGGTCTGAACGTTGAAAGACTACTATCATCTCAAAAGGCCTCTTCTCCAGGGTTGGAAAGAGAGTCCTCTCACACATGTCCTCTCACACATTGGTTGAGCATCCCCGCTTCGTGAGCAGTGTTTTGGATCCGGGATCGACATTGACTTGTAGTCGCCAAAGGCACGAGCCTAAAGGTCAACTGAGTACCATTTGGGCTTCACCCTGAACAACTTGGAAGCCTCACCTGCTCCTGCTCTCCACCAAACAACAAGTTTCCAGGAGTGTGTGGTCCTGGGCGGCAACAACACAAATACACGCTAATGTGGGCGAGACGCGGTGGGAATGGGTTGAAGCAACCCTTCAGCGAGCGGCAAGTCTCTTTAGCTGACCTTCACACATGTGTCGTCTGAGATGATGGCTGCTGATTTGTTTTGAGGATCAACGTGCACATGGGCGGCAGCCAGTGCCAAACTGCTACGTTCGCTGCAACGGGTTTGTATGTGGTTCCATCACCCAATGCCACCCCGCACATGCAAGTCGCTCACTTGGGAACTTTGGCGCGGGCTGGACAGCGCTAATGGTTTGCATGAAGGCCGATGGGCCATGTTCGAAAAACATGGGCCGCCGGGGCAAAGACTGACGATGAAAAGGGAAAGACCGGGTACTGAAATATCAAACTTCGGGCCACCCCTCAAGAAACACATTCCTTTCCAAGAGGACTAGAGTCTGTTCCTTTTCAGCCCAGCACTGACACCGACCCTTAGCAACACTCAGCCGAGGCATGCACCCGCAGAAGCTGCGTCAGGTCTTCATAGGAGAGGTCTTGCAGTTTGCGGCCCCTATCTCTCACCAAGTCCTCGTTTCAGTTTCAGCCGCCGGTCCATATTCGGGCGTCACACGCTAGAACTCTTGGACCCATCAGTCACGTGAAAGAAACACGCAGGGTCACTTCCTCGACAGGATCATGGTTAGTAATTAACTCAGCCTTGGACATAATTCAACGTTGAATCCAAGGAAAAACAACATCCCTGGCGCGTGACCCGTGCAAAACACACCACAGTAAACTTCCATGAAATCAATTCTTGTGTATGTGGCAAAATGGTACCTTCCAAGTTGGGCAGTTCGCTCTTGTTCGCCTTTCAAAAACAAGCACCAAGGTGAGGGGGGAGGGGGTGGGAGGGCCCACAAACCGGTTTTACAGTCGTCCTAACAAAAAGGAACATGGTACAGTCAAATGAATCCAGGGTTCCCCCATGTTTGCGGGGATGACATACCAAGGAAGCCACCCTATGTGATGCGCTTGTCAGCACCTTAGGCTCCCAGGTAGTTTTCTATGAGCCAAACAGACACCTCAACATGGCTTTTCCCAGCTGCCACAACAAAAAGCTGGGAAGCATCCAGCACATATGCCACTAAGGTCTGCCATGCCCTATGTTTCTTTATCTATGACTATCATTCCCCGAAAGCACTAGTAGCATATTATACTAGCATACTGGGCCTTGGCATCCTTGGCATCCATTTTACTTGCCCGTGCTGATATCGACAGGCCCGGAATAAAGGTGCACCGCAATGATAGATTCATGTGTTCCCAGGCAGTCATAATTTTGAAAACTCCCAAAGTGAGGGCGAGTTCAATCGGGCAACCAACAGGATATATCATTGGACAAGCTGGTGCCAACGAAACTCTCTCTCTACGCAAGCCAAGACCAAAAAAACATCTGCAAGGCTCCTGAATGGTGGATTTGTCAATGTTCATCTCCTTCCTCTCGCCCTTCGCTCCCTTCGACTTCCCCTTGGCCGCCTGGATGCATTTTCCGTACGACTGTGCCCATGAAACTCTGACTCGGAGACCATCGAAGACAACCATCCAAACAGGACGCTTCCCGGTTGGCAGAAAACAGCCCTAATATCCTGCATGCTGCAGGCAGGAAGGCCCAGGTGCTGCGGTGAGACAACATTGATTCGAACTCACAGGCCCATTTCGTTCAGAAAAGGCCCTCAGAGAACTCTACATGTCCTGTGCAGTGCGTGGAACAAAAGCCTGACCGACATGACGTATTTGCAGCATAATGTTGATATCGCCTTGTTCTGTCTGCGCCCAAAATAAGGCCCGATACTACACAAGCCGAGAAACTGTCTGAAGCATGCAACAGCCCACAGGTGCTTCAGACGTGAAAGGGCACGCTCGCTGCGCGTTTCTCAATGTTTGTAGGATCTAGTCAAGGGCATGATAGGATTTGTTGGGCTTGGCTCTAGACATGTGGGGGAGGGAAGGGCCGATTGCCGAAGAACTGCTTGGTGGATTCCGAGCCCAAACCTAAAATCGAATCAAACAAAATCGCCCGATGGGCAAAACCTTGAACCGGTTGGTGAGGGGTTTATCCCATTTTCTCCGCGTATTGTAGGGGTTCATCCATTTCACAGGGATTTTGTCCACCCACAGCATGGTATCGCAGTATACGGAGTTTCGCATCTGTCCGGCTTTGCTTGTGCTCTCGCCTCTGGCTGTTCCACCTTCTCGGGCCTGAGACGGGCGTCGCTCAGCCTGAAACCCAGGATGAGCTCGCACGTCAAAACACATAAACAACATAGGTGGATGTTGCTCAAATCTCCTCGGTTACAGACAAGGGTATTCTTCGACAATGGCATTCTGAGAGGGTCGGGACACGAGGACAAACTGCATGCCTCTTTTGCATCGGCAAAGTCTCGGGCTCCCATGCGCCCCTTGCGAGGCGCCAGGGTCCGGCTCTATGCCGCAATCACCATGCAAACCGTGATTTGGGGACTAGACTTCATGTACCACTCCCATGATACACATGGGCTGACACTATATGTCATGTTGGCTAGAAAATACTGTCCCATGTCTGCTTTCATAATCCAGCGATCTGTCGACATTGCTTAAACAAGGCCTATAAAGATCAACGAACCAAAGTTCAAAACGAAGCTCACATTCAAATGGCTCACAAGGTGATGTGTAGGAAAAACACATGACCCTGCATGCCCCAGCCAGTCTGCCAGAGTTCCGAGTCCTTCAACTGAGGCCACCGCATCATCGTCTGAGTTATTACTGCGTGTGCCTGCGATTTGGGCTGCTCTCAAGACCCGGGCAGGGTAGCATTTCGACCACTCGCACCGCGGAAAAACCAAACCAGCTTTCTACCCATGGGTTGCTCACATTTTTGCGGCTTGGAGCAAGCCTGATCGCACAAGACCATTCAGTAGAGGAAGCTGAACTTATGCGTGCAGCCGCCTGCAAACATCAAGTCTGAACTGTTTAAGGACATACTATGATATCCATGCGTCGCATTATCATGTAAGACTGTGGAATATTCAGACTTGCGTGGGTTTTTCAGCATTGAATACATAATTGACAATAGAAACGGCATTGGATGGCTTGATCGCTCCTAGAAGTCGCAGAAACGCCACTTGAGCAATATCAATATCGTGCATAAATGTGTATATATATATATATATGTATATATATATATATAATGCTAAAGTAATTACATGGCAGTGCGGGACGTTATTGCAGGACAGCCACGATAAACCAAACATCTGAAAAACAAAATCAGGTCATGAACACGTGGATGAGGATAACATTCTGACTGCATAAGAAGCCATCCAAAAGTGCCTCCTGCGATTCCAGCTGGTTGCATCTGTGAGTGGCATGCGCTGCTGAATCCTGATGGGCAATCACGGCCCTGATTGAAACACAAACCACAAGAAAGTGGTCTACTGCACATACAAGCGCGCATCCTGCTGCTACTAATACTGCTGCTACTGTTCTGAGAGTGGCCTTGACGAAAGCGATGGCGGTGACGACGGAAACGACAACAACGACGACAACGACGACCACCACCACCACCCTGCAAAATCACCCCCTTCGCGCCGCCTGCGCTTGTTGGAACTGCGCAAAGTAGGCCTTGGGGTCCAGGAGCGCGGCACCTCGCGGCAGCCGGGGCGAATGCAAAAGGGTTTTGGGGGATGTGGGGTGTGTTGGGATCAATGAGAAACCACAGCGTTTTACTCATAAAGCATGAGGTCAACCTGGTTTGTTCTACGTTTGGTAATGATATGCCAAAGTATGATATCAATTCGGTTTCTCATGTTTGGAAACCATGATACGCATGTTGAAGGGATGTAGACCGAACATGGAACAACCATCTCAGCTCGGCATGGAGCGTAATCATGCCATACGCATGCCGGAGAAAGTGTGTCATGTCAATTGTTCTCAAGCAGTGTGCCTCCCACTCCAAACCAAAAAGGTGGCGGGCAGATGGGCCGCGGCAGCCAAAGAATTGAATTGTGCCCCATGGTCCCCGAGTTGCTCTCGAATAAAAACAGTTGGTGTGCGCGGGTGTGTTCGTGTGCGTGGTGTCTATCTTAGTAAAATTATGCTTACCATGTTGAACCATATCCCGCACCAGCTCAGGTCCATACGGCGTGCCAGGGGAGATACCCCCAACACACGAGCGATGGTTGCCCTACATTCGCATGGGGTTTGGGTCGGGACCAGGGCCAGCAAACCTGGGGCTTTCCCCACATAGGAAAACTGGGGCCCTCCTCCCAAACCAATACTACTGTGGATGGACGAAATCCTGCACCACCTAAGAAATCCTGGATTGATGATTCCTCTGTAAATACAAACAAGCAATGGTTTCCCATGTTTCCAAGTGGTGCAGGATTTCGTCCACCCACGGTATTGTAAGTGGTTGTTGTCTCCGCGTGCGCACGGGAAGCGCCTTGGGGCTTCCATTGGAAAGTTCCGGTAGCTCCACCGAAGGCATCGTCTGCACTGCGCTTCATGGCGGCTCACTGCTCAAGTTTTCAGCTGTGAAGTGGCGATTTGGCCGAAATCACCTTGGCCATGGTGAGTTCTCCAAGGAAGTTCTGCAACGAAAGTCTGTGAAATCGTTTGGTGTGTGACTCTGACACATTGTGTTGTTGATTGTTTGTTGCTTGGTCAACTGCAACTCGTCAGGGATACATGTCCCTCGCCTAAAGAGCATATGGCACGCGGCGTGGAAAGGTGCACGAGTGACCGGAATTCTGAAAGAGTTTTGGCAATGCCAGAGTCAATTGATTACCCTCCCACCACATTCTCGAGTGGTAAATAGCCAGTCTTCCGGAATTTGTGCAGTTCCAAGTTCAGTGTTGGCTGGCTACCCCACGGCTCAAAAGACAATGGAATGTCACGCTCCTGAAGATTTCCAACAAGGACGAGTCCCCCCCCCCCCCAAATAAACCCGCTCTGTGATCCTCAGAGCTTCTTTAAGTGAAAACCCTTTTTCAGAAACATGGTAGCTCACGAGCACATCAGCGGATACAATCCTAGCGCGAGCTTTCTCATCGGAAAACATGACAATTTAGCTGTTCTATCCAGTCTGAAACATGGCGACGCTCAGCCCCGGCTGCCCCTTCCCCCTTCTAGAAAACGGTTTGAATGCAGCCTCTCTCTGGTTTCAGCACTGCAGATACCCAAAAAGGTGAGGGGCAATAGGCGGAAGCCACAACAATGCACAAACCATTTCCAGGCCCCGCCCCTACCTCACATGTTTTCTTGTGCTTGCGCTGATCGAACTGATGCTTAGCTCAGCTCCATGCTGGCCAAGTATGGGTATGGTTCCTTGGATGAGCTGGGAGGCCTCAAGGAACGGGCCATGTATATATGTCCAAACGTGTATTTATCTATATATATATATACTAGTATATGTATATTCTATATATAAATATATGCAATCAAACACATATAGGCTGAACATATCTGTCCACAATTCGTAGAATCCGTCTTTCAAGTACACAAACACACAGACACGCACACATTAGCAAATGCTCGAACTATGCCGGCGTAGCCTATGCACAGCGCTGCAGTTCAACTGCAGTACCAGCAGAGGCAGAACGGCGTTAAGCCAAAGTCGAGCCGAAAAAATCGGGCGTCCAGCGATGTTGCACAGCTACGCTACAAATCAAGCGCATCTAGGCACTTGCAACCTACATAATGCAAACCTCTGTGAAACAGCCAACGCCCTCCTGCTTGACCATGCCGCCTGGCGAACATGCACGAGCTCTTGGTTTGCAACTCTGAATCAGAAAGAACAAACAAACGACAGCAGCAAACACTTGTCTCTGATGCCTCACTCTCATCTCAACTCAACCTGACTTACCATGCTGGGAAACCCAAAGGTCAAAACGCTGATTTGGGACCACAGCGGCTTTAACATTTTGCTGTCCAGCCTCGCAGCTAATCAGTCAAGTCTTGACGTGACACGGGAGCCTGAGCACGTGGGCCGCACGCAGTGGAAGCCTTGGGTATATAATCTAAATTAAATCCAATTCACCAGCCCAGAACAAGGCTTTCTTGAAAAGGAACATCTATCATGGATAAGCCCGCAAACCCTGTTGCGAGGTTGTCATCAGTTGCCAAGATTCATTGGAAGAACATCCAAGTGTTCCAAGACACGAACAATGGTGCAATGAATGCAGGGCTCTGTCCAGCAAAAATGAATACACAAAATGCAATGCATAATCCTGGAAATAATTGCTATAAACAAAACAACAAGAGAACGACCACGCACAGGAGAAAAGACTCATGCACAATCCATAGCGAAGCCAGCCTGTACAATCAGGAAAGGCCTACTGGAAGCGATAACTTTAAGCCCCCTCCGTGAGGCCGTCACTATGGAGGAAACAATGTTGGCTGAGACCATGCACATCTGAAAACGACACAAAGCAGGCAACCGGCAACAATCGATCAACATTGCACCCAAGGCAAACAAGGAGTGCACCGCATGTTTCCATTGGAGAGCAGCACCATATTTTTGCATTCAGCTCGCCCAAATGGAGGAAAATTGGAGTGGAGGATAGCTATGCCACCAAGGGATGGCTCCCAATTTTGTATTTCACTCGTCTGTGCCAGGTCTTTCATTCTCAAAGCTGAGCTGAGGACGCTGGAGTCACCCTCGCTCCAGATCTCATCGCGGAGCATCTTCCTTTGCGACAAATTCTGGTCCAAAGGTGGCAATAATATATGTCTGCTTCATTGAACCAGCAACTCATGCATGCAAGCCATGGTCAAAACGCCCATGCGCATGTAGAAACATCCCCAATCGACTTCACACCTTCTATGCATGCGAGAAAGCAATGCAGCAAATCTTCAAGCGTGGTGCCTGGTGAGTGTCAAGAGCGCGCCTGAATTCCATCGGATCTAGGCATCCATCTCCGTTCAGGTCGTATTCCTTGACCTTGCACTTTGATCGTGTATGAGTATGGCCACTGCCGCTCTTGCATTCTCATTTGGCCAGTCCATGAGATTCTCGCTTTAAACAAAAACAAAAACATCCAAGAGCACACGCACACACAAACACTCCTTCACTAGAGCCCTACATGAAAGCAATGCGGAGCAGCCCTCAAATGCTCACTTTAAGGGACCTGGTGAAAGCAAGGTGCCTTCGTTTGGGGCGCCTCCGTAGGGATGAAATTTGGAGTCCAGGGCCGCCGCCATTTCGGTGCAGCGACGAAGGCTGTTGTCCTGGAAACTGAGTGAGTCCCTGAGTCTCAGGGTCCCTTTTGCGGGAGAGTTCGTGAGGATTTTCCATGTCCCTCCCAAATGGATCAAAGTTTCCTGGACATTTTGAGCGACCCTCCTGTGCAAACCAACTCTTCACGACCTCGGCACATGCCAAAGTATAGGCGCCCAAACGCCGCATGGCCGAGCTCTTGACGTCTGCTGGCGTGCATCTATCCACAAGCTGCCACACGGCCTTTTGATCATTGCACACACACACACACACATATACAAGGCTCGGTGGCCCAAACAATGGAAAGGGGGCAGATGGTGTTTTGACTCAAGGTTTGCACTCAAGACTGGTCCTTGGTAAGTCGACAGGAACTGAATCCCTGTGCATTGCCCAAAGTGTTAGCGTTTCCCGGTCCAACATGTCTTTGGGGGCTCGGGTGCAGTCAAGGCTCAGCCATGTCAGAGTGAGCTATTTTGAAAACAAAGTTGTCTTGGCCAGGATTGATTCCAACTTGTCTGCCTTTATTTTCCAAAACCAAACCAACCGGGCCTTGTACCAACTGCAAAAAGCTATCCCCGTCCAAGAAAGACGGACTCCGCGTGCAACCCATACCTGCTTGCGCGTGTGCCCAGGGTCGCCTTCGCCGTTAAAAATGACGGATCCCATCGGAGCGCGCTCACAAATAGGGGAAGTGGCCAGAATTCTGCTAGGCCAAAGAAACCCATGTTCCACATACGGCCAAAGAAACCCATGTTCCACATACAGCGGCTTTCTGTCTTGACCTTTGCCTTTCTTCGCCCGGCCCGGCCCCCGACTCCTTTCTCTGTACAGAGTTGCTGAGCACCTTCTGGAGGTCTTCAGGACCAATGAGGCCTGCCAGCCAAACCAATCCACGTGGGGCCCCGCTCCCCACAAAACCGAAAATGCGAAGTTGCTGGTCTGGCTTCCATCCCTGGCATCTTAACAAAGCTAGCTCACTCAACACACCAGCCCCTAAGCTAAGTCAAACTAACCAGAGTGAAACCACTTGGAGTGAGTCCTCAGATGGAAAATACCTGAGCGCTTTCTTATTGTGCGGCGTTGTGCAGCCATTTCGAAACTTGCATTTTGTGATCGTTATTGCTGCTTCGGCATTGTGAACGCAATCTGTCACTTTCTCGTAATGTTGCGAGCTGCTGCTGATTTTTGCACTCTTCCGATTGCGGCGGATGCGCTTAGGTGAGTGCCTGTGTGAGTGACACCACGTCAACTTCGCCGTCGCCTCCTATCTGATCAGATCACAGTGGCGCAAACATCGCCTTCTGTTGCCTGCCATTCTTACCTCAAGTCAAGGAATCTTGCTTGAGCCACGGAATACCAGCCCCTTGCAAAGGCTAGACGCAACTTTCACAGGGCGTTTCTTGCATCCCTTCTGCAAGAATCACTTAAAGAAAGCGTGGCCAACAAGTGGACAATGGAAGGCTCCGCGGTGTTGATGCAGCGCTGGCGAGCGGTCGAAACCGAGAAACACCAGCGATGGTGGACCCTGCCATTTGGAAAGTACTGCTTTGGCTGATCATCGTTTTAGAACGTTCGCAAAAACATCCAGGAGGGACCGACCCTCGATGTTTGCCAGGATCTTGACAGACCAAGGTCTAGAACCCTTGCTCCCAACCTCTCAGTGGGCCGTCCCGTTGGGTTTTTCCTTGGCTGCTCAGCCTCTCTTCGCCTAGGCAACTGCTCCCTGCCTCGTCCTTGGATGTCGAGCTGTGCAAACATCTGGCGAGCCGGAGCAAGAGTCGCATGCTTCGCAGAGATCCCAGCTCAGTGCAGGCCGACCAACTTGAAAGAAGACATATTTGGCCCGGCTCTTTACTGAACAAGTTAAACAAAGAAAACCTGCGCCGGCAACGAGTCTCAAGATCGACTCGAAAGAACTCAACACCTTACCTTTTAGGCCAGATGCCATGGCCCCTTGGCGCGACGGAGGCACCTCCATGACTCTGGCTTCCTCACTGTACCTTCCGGCCAGGTTGCTCATGGTATATACCAAAGCACATCTGCATGACGAACCACGTCAAAGCTTGGTATCACAGAAGTTGATGCTAAGACCAAGAAGTGTTCCAGCAAGCATCAGGGTGATTCATCACTTTGCAGCGAGTCTTGGGTTGGTCTCTGGACCCTCCCCACTCAGAACATCCGTGGTTAATAGCTAATATGTTCTGTCACTACAACCCACAGCCAAAAATGCTTCTTGCAGTGCAGCATTTCCTCCGTCACTGCTCCGCAAGCCTCATACCCACTTTTCTGTGCTGACTTGTCATCTGTGTGTGTGGGAAAAGTCCGGTGAACATTTTTGCACCGGCTTTTCGAAAGCCGTTGCTTGGCCTGCAAGGGGAACACCCCCGTGAAACTTCACAGCCAAGATGGCAGCTAAATCGATTCACAAAAGTCTAAAGCGGCTCAAACATCGGAGTTCGTCCTCTTCTCCTCCTTGGGCACCTTTGGACCTTTGCATTTCGGATTCTGCTTCCCTTTAGCCCTCCCTCAAAGCTAGCATCAAGAGCAGTTTCCACCACTTAAATGTCTATCCTGCTGCGGTGCATCAGCCTTTTGAGACTGAACGGACCCACAAGCTGGCGTTTGTGAGTATTCCTCGATTAGGAACTGGAACACATGGGTTCTCAGGACACATGCACGGTCAATATTCATTGTGTCCCCAACCAACATTGACATTGGGCGAGCAGCAACCAGCTACGAATGGTAATTTGTTCAGTCTACCCAATGTCATTATGCTTGTAAATATTGATTGTGTCTCATGTAAGTATCCAACAGTTGAATGACTTGCTGCAGCTGCTGGGCTCTCACGAACGAAGAAATAAAGCCTGTAAAGCATCCCTTGTAGCTTCATTGGAGTGATCATCCTGATCGAACATCAGCAGTGAGCGATAACCTTCTCTCCCAACGCCCGCCTCCACTTGGAACGCTGGGAGTGTCAAAATAGTCATCATTCAAGCTTGAGCCCACCATGTTCTCCGAGTCCTGGCGAAAATGTGTGTAAAACAGGAGGTACCTGCATGGAGGGTACCTGGAAGACCATTTTCCTCTTCAAGGGACCTTGTGTAAGGTGATATGTCAGTGGGAGCGAGGGTAGCTCCTCAATTATGCAAGCAATACTCTATAGATATACAAATATATATATATATACATATGTATATGGTACCCCCCCAAACCCACGCCGCAGAGAATTTGACGGTATTTACAGTACTTTTGGATGATGTCCAGCCTCTTTTCAGGCACCCCAATTTTAACCATCTAACTATGCCTGCATTTGCACATTTGACTGCACCTCTATCCACCTAAAATGACCTAAAACGCTTTCAAGCGCTTTAAAGCACTTTTGGATTCAAGGTTCAAAATCAAAACTCCGCCCCATCCCCTAAAACAATTTAGAGTGGTTTCATTCCCGTGGATTCAAGATTGGGGCCCTTTTTCTTGAATCTTGAATCCATGAGCTACCTGGATGAAAGCGCTTTAACACATTTTGGGGGCCCCATACTGGATTCAAGATTCAAGATCTAGAGTGATGGAAATCGTGAATCTTGAAACTTGGATCCAAAAGTGCTTTTGAAGCGCTTTAAAGCGTTTTGGGGGTCCAATACTGGATTCAAGATTCAAGATCTAGAGTCCTGGGAATCTTAAGTTTTGAATCTTAGATCAAAAGTGCTTTAAAGCGTTTTGGGGGCCCCATACTGGGCTCAAGATTCAAGAGCCACAGTCCTGAGAATATTGAATGTTAGATCCGAAAGCGCTTAAAGGCGCCGAAAAGCGTCTGCTTTCCGTCATTCATGTTTGGCTGTGCACCTTATTTTTGGAATTGTGGGCGGTAAATGCAGTTGATAGCTCAGCATATGGACATTGGATACCTAAATTATTAGACAATGATTTAAATAAATCGACATCAACGATGTTGTGTTTGGTATTGATCAAGGTTTGTGAGCTGACAAACGAAGCCTTGCAGATGAGTTGAGATGAGAGATGGAAGATGCGTAGCAGGTTTTGGAACAGGCTTGTAATTTGACAGACGAAGAAAACTTGCACATCAATTGAGATGAGAAATCGAAGATGCGTAGGCGAAGCAGAAGAGGCTTTGTTTGCTGTGTTGTTGATACCCTTGCGCCGGTACACTCGCAGAGATGATTTACAGTCAATGGAAGTAGGATAACAATAGTGATGAAGACTATGGACCAGCAAAATTGATATGGACACATATTAACAGTGAAACATGGACTGACATGTTCAAAAGCTCGGAAATGTATGTATGACATATTACGGCTTAGACCCTGTGTATTCTGACGCTTTACTTAACTTTGATTTTACACCTTACCTACCATTGCTTCTGATGCTGTGTTCAAATCAACTTGTGTTGAAATAAATTTAGTTTATGACCAGAAAATGTATGAAATGATTGAACAAGAATCAACGCCACAAACATGTTTCAGACAGTATGACGCAAATACTATTCAAATGGCTGGCAAAGGCTTAGTAAATCATCTGCGCAAGTCTGCCAACATTGTAAAATGAGCCCACATCCTTCAAAAATGACCTGACTTCCCTCACATAAGCTGCAGGCGCTTTTTAATTGGGGGGGGGGGGCGGGGTGCATGTATATATATATACACATAGTACAAACAACCAAGCAACCAACAAGCAAGCAAGCAAGCAAGCAAGCAAGCAAAAAAACAAACAAACAAGCAAGCAAGCAAGCAAGCAAGCAAGCAAGCAAGCAAGCAAGCAAGCAAGCAAGCAAGCAAGCAAGCAAGCAAGCAAGCAAGCAAGGTGGGGCAGCGCCAAATGCGGCCGCAACACACAAGTTCGCGAGCTGGTGACTCTTTCCGAGATACAATGTTAGAACATCCCAGTGAGTACTGGCTCCCTCAATATCACAGAAAAGTGGCAATCCCACCCCCGATTTCCCACAACAGTTTGGCTTTGACTCTGCGGGTTTCCAATCACTTGTAGGAACCCTAGCCCCATCTCTCAAGGGCCATCTTTTCCGGCAAGCCCTGTCCCGTCCTGCGACTCAGTGTCTTTGAAGAGGCCCTCAATCTCCTGAGCCCACAACAAGTGGAGTCCTTCCTCCCTCAGGGCGTGGAGTTTCCTTTCAAAACATCACCCCCCAAGGAAACTCACTTTGAATAGTTGCGGCTGTCCCTTTGACGCCGGCTTGAATATTAGGGAAACTCAGGAAATTGAGAGGGGCACGGCCCCAAAAGCTGATGTTGAAAACAAACAGAGGAAAGGTTGGGTACATCAAAATCAATCAAGCCTGCAAAGCCCTCACCTCACAAATGCCACCGATTTGGCTGCTTTGAACTGCCAGTATGCTTCACCCCTACGCCCTATTTAATATGCACCCGAGCTTAGGAGAGCAGAACTTTGGGTGAATAGGAAGCTGAACAAATGGGGCAAACAAGGTCCATCTCCGTGTTGATTCCCTGAGGGAGAATCGACAACAATCAAAGCACACTACACTTCACAAACCGAACATAAGAGAATGCACGAATCAGAAACATCATCATGAATGAGCTCCTTTTACCTTCAACTCCGTTACAAGTCGCAGAACTTGTTGTCGTTACCCGCGCCTGCCATAGGTTTCTCTGCCTCAAGCAAAGGCAACGCGCTTCTCCTCTGCGCTGTGCTGGAACGACTGGACCATCTCCAGCAGTCGCACGCGTTGGTCCAGGAGGATCACGTCAGCATCCTGCCGGGGATTCTGGGCTTGGATGGATAGGTAGATATGTACATGCAGGTGTACATATGTATATCTACATATGTTTGTATGATATATCATAGGTGTATAGATATATACATATATATGATATAATATATATATATAGACATATTATATATATATATGATACATGTACCACCTGGAGCCTCAAGCCTTCCGGCAAGGTATTTCCTTGTAGTTGGTGGGCGTGGTGTCCCGCATCGCCAGGAGGAACCTGGAGGCACACACTGCCCGAGAAAACCATTCCCTCCGCAATCCATAGTGGGACACCACAAGGGCAACATTTGTAACATCATCCGCATCTGGCATGAGGAGTAAGGATTGATATCGATGTTGAACAGCCATCTTGGAAGCATGGCAACTCCTGCGACTTACACTTGCCGGCAGTTGCAGTCCGCGGTGTGCAGGATTTGCTTCTAGTTAGTGTGGCACGACAAAACTGCTTCCACGAATCGCAAGCTCTTGGCAGTGCTCAAAGCTACGACCCCAGAATTACTCCAGTCCGGAAAGGCCTCCCCAGTTGGTAGCTTGACCCGGTTTCCACAAGACACGAATTCTAACCAAAACGAGAGCTCACTTCAGATCCATCGTTCTACGCAAGCATTCGCATTCCCGAAACATGACATGCAAACCAATCAGCAGTGTGGTTGACTACCGGCGTAAACCCACTTCCTTTCGCCCTGTTGCGGCGTGTGTGGGGTCCAACCAGCCCTCAACCTGGCCGGGGAATACTTTGTGTCCCAGGGAACAGTTCCTATTTTCCCAGAGATGGTGCGCCGTTCTGATTCATGAGATGCAAATTGTCATGGCCTGCGCACCTCTTTGTTGTTCTCATTGGAATCGCCTTGGGGCTTTGGGAATGAACCTAGGAAAGCACAAGGGATGGGTTTAGTTTGGTGCCGCTTTAACTTCTTTTCTGAGAGCTGTCCATAGCAAAAACCGCTGCCTCAGCTGCTGGTCAAGGAGAAACCTCTGCTTTTGAACCACCTGCTTGTAGAGGGTGAGATCCTGGGCGATTCCAATCCGTGCAACCGTACATGTCTGCGGTAATGTGTGGCCAGGAAACATGGCATGTCTGGGCAAATTGATTAATTCAGACAGGGATCCTTCCTGAACATTGCCTTGTAGATGGTGGTGTCCCTTGATTTGGTGGAAAAAGCCATGTTTCAAATGGGCAAAATGTATCTTTTAAGGAGCCCTGATTCACCAACCCAACAATTCACCAAA